TACGTTCAGGTGGGTAGCTGCGTCAGCATGCGTAGGCTGCAAAGGAACAAGTAATAGGTTTATTCCATGCTGAAAAAAAGAAGAAAGAGAACACAACGTTTCGGCAGTGGAGCCTTCTTCAGGTGTGAAGTTTCTCTCCGTCTGTGTTCTCAAAGACGGTTTTCCGAACTCATACATCAGAAAGACCACCGAAACTAAAATTATTCTGCAGCTAGGATCACACATTCTCCCTTCCCTTAACGACAGATTACTGTTCTTTTAAATTTTCTCCATTCATTGGAAGTTTCATTTCACACCTCTCTGCACCCATTCTGACTTCACTCCTCTTGATTGGCCTCTCTTTCTGTCCCCTGCTCCCGCCCCTCACTCCCCCTCCCTCTCAACCTTTGTTCTCCCGCTACTTTACCTTTGCCTACTGCCCTGTCTCTCTCACACCTGAAGAAGGCTCCATGGCCGAAACGTTGTGTTCTCTTTCTTCTTTTTTTTTCAGCATGGAATAAACCTATTACTTGTTCCGATAGAGGAATTACTACACCTACACACTGAAGCAAAACAGTACTTTTACTAGACAGGACATTCACTTTAATTGAAATGATTTGTTACACGGTCAACTTGTTAATCTCACATTTTCTCAGGTAGACAGCATTCTGTGACAGCAGCATTAGCTTAGCGAATAAATAGTTAACACAACAATGAGTTAAGGTTTGGGGTTTTGCTCCACTTTGAGTTAAAATAGAGCAGACATTTAATATCCTTATACAGTAGGTCCTTAAAAAACAATGCCTGCCTTAAGTGATTAAGTTAACAGGTAATTAATGCTGACATCAGAATTAGTTCAGACATCTTGTCGTAACATCAGTGCTCCTTACAAAACTTTGTTTTCAACAGCGGACAGAGCAATATATTTGTTAATTAACTTTTGAAGTTATTATAATAATTTTGGATTGGATTAGAAGTGAAGGTAGTGTTTCTTGATGAACACTCAATATGTTATACTCAAAATAGTAAGGGAAATGTACTGATGTAATGGCATAGACTTAGATTCTTCTTGACCAGGTTTCTGTTTTTATTAGACTCTTTCCATTTTAGCACCTACAGATTTAGGGTTTCAATAATTCATGCTATCTTGGAAAATGAGCCAAATGCATCTCATTAAAGGCTCATTAATATAATCATTAGAAAAGTGATGAAATTCTTCCAAGGAATAAAAAGAACTAGGGCAGGTTTCTAATAATCTCTTTTCTGTTTCAGTTTTATGTGCTAGATTAGTCTTTGAGTTTCTAGATTTACTGCATTATAGAAAAAAAACTCAGAGATAAAACAGACAATATGTCCAGTTCGACGACTTTAACTGTATTACTGTAGCTCTCTCATTGGTGAGTTAGCACTACTTAGGCACTCAATACCTGTACTACTGTATGACTCACATTTGACATTTGCTTTAAGTGGGCATGGTTGAATAAAGGGTTCAATTCACTTGGCAAATATATTTTGCATAGAAATCTTACAAAAAGAGGAACACGATTTGCAAGTACAGTATTTATTAATGTAGTGCTATTGATGTGTAGTTTTTGTACAGCTCCCACAACCTATAGGATAGGTTGTGAGTATAGGATTCCACTAGCTCAACAAACCATATTTAAGAGAAAGGGGTTGGTATTATTTCCACTCACCTTTATGAATATCAGCCTGTTTTGACATTGCTTCTGTACCGTGCTTATTATCATTATCTCTACCAATATATTCTCGATTATCTAGTGAAGAGCTTCGTGATGTCTTGAGGGAAGGTGGTAATTAAGTAAAAAATCAAGAGTAATCTTTAAGAGTTCTTCATGCTCGATTAGGAATGGTGTTCTCGGATGAGATGATCAAAAGCCATTTCTAGCTCCAGAAGGTAATTTTGCTGCTTGTGTTCAGGGTGCTTTGATTATATATTAAAAATATCCATATAAAAAGCCAGTTTAATATGGAAAGATGAGTGCCTGCTCAACTAGAGTCACTTTATTAAACAGTCTTATTTTTGGTATTTCAAGTGCAAATAACTTGTGGAAAGAACACTCATTTCCCTCTTTCTGTACGGTAATAGACTAATTCTGCTTTTAAACATACCCCTACCTTGGGCGTTCGATCAGTTAATGGAATTCCACATTGAAATTCATAGGTTTCATGTCAATGGAATTGCCGGTCTCAATTCCTGAAGGAATCAAGATTTACAGCTATTGTATGTGGGGCTTCTATCTTTCAGTCTTGCTGCATTCAGCTCTTGGATGCCAGTGAAAATATAGGACTATTTTCTCTGTTTTCTTTCGGCTATACAGTGACGGTTTTTGGTTGGGTGGCATGGTGGCGCAGTGGTGAGCACTGCTGCCCTGTAGTGCCGGGGCCCTGGGTTCAGTTCTAGACGTGGGGTACTGTCTGTGTGGAGTTTGTATGTTCTCCCCATGTTTGTGTGGGGTTCCTCCGGGTGCTCCAGTCTTCTTCCACAGAGAGAACTGGCCCTGGCGTCAGTGTGTCTGTGTGTTTTCCCTGCCCTGCCCTGCCCTGCCCTGGCATCCCGACCGGCCAGGATCTATCCAGCCTTGCGAACAGTGATTCTGGGAACTGGCCCCAACTCCACCATGGCCCTGTACTGGACTGAGAGGGACGTGATGTGAATTTCAGGCTGTCTCCTGCAGATGGATGGTTTTTCTGGAAGGGCTACCGTAACAGACCTCAGGCCTTGGCAATATCTGGGTAGGAGACTGTTCCTATGGGTTGTGCAGCATGGTGCCACAAAGGGAAGCCATTGTCAGAACTCTTTGCTTTCATCACGTCTTCGCTCATCGATGCACAACGCACTTTAGGATGTACAAGAAGTCTTGTCAAAATTAGCCCTTATAATCTGATATTTTTGCACAATATTTGGCATGAAGCAAGTGTTTACAACTACAATGTCCACTAGAGTATTAATTACTCAAGTTAATTAAAGCCATGTGCTTCTTTCATCATTTCTTTACATCGAGTTTTTCTGTGCAATCAGGAATAGTGATTTTCAGGAGAATTAAACTATTTCAAAAATAAGTTTGTGTTTTACAGATGTTTAAATCATTTCTTGGTAGACAATGTCTGAAACAGTTGATGTAAGAACAAAAGAATGTAGGAAAGGCCGCTAGACCCATATAGGGCATTGCGTAAGGCTTGAATGAGGAACTGATGTAAATTAAGATTATTTTCTTCTGTTCAACAAGATAGACTGCAAACTGCTTTCAACCCACGTATATAATTCAGGCCAGGAGAAATTTGCTTTGATCGTCTCAATGATCCTAATTTTTCCAATTCCTATTTTTGTACTCATACAAAGGTCAGATTACAGTTGAATATAAACTCTTTGCTATTACACTGACAGGAAAAATGAACAACAAACCCATTATGGTAGTGTATAATGCACAATTGCTCCAGCAAATGATGATGAACAAAAATGCATAATGTTCACAAAGAGCAATGGAAGTTGAGGTTCTTCTCTGATAAATATCAACAGGAAGAAATTTAAATAAAAAAAATAATTTTATTGTAGTCTTATGCATCCTTAATAGTTTTGGCTATACAGAGTTTGATACCTCTGACACATATACAGAAATCCTGACTCATAAACATATTACTGTATAATTAATAATAATCCCTTTTATTTCTATGCACTTTAAAAACTCAAAGGTAAACATAGATCTTGTGAATGTAGACTATTTTTTAATATAGCAATTATTTTAGGGCAATCAGTTTCCCCCCTATAGTATCTTTAAGCATTATAAGCAAATAAATTTCCCATACAAATAGTTTTATTTAAGAAATGTAAAAATACTGTTTATTAAAAAGGAGAAAAGGTGTTCATCTTATAGTTTCACATTGTTGTGATTTCAAGAGCAGCAGGATTTCTAATGCAGTTGTGAAGAGGTGGGCTGATTGCTGAGAGGTGATTCAAGAAATATGGGCATGGTCATACTGGCCCATTACAATTGTAGATCCATGATTTGTTTTGGTTGTTCAGCTTGATTGAGAGCGACATTCATCAGCCCTTGCGATACTTACCAATACTTTTCCAATCCTTAATTTGCTGCTTCATCCTAGTGGATTACAATCTTAATGTTGCTAATGATACAGTCATTGGAATGTTTGTTGTATATTGAAAGCATCATAAAACACACAGCAGAGGAAAACAACAGAAATTCCTGCCAGCTCTCTCCCTGTGGAGAGATCACAAGCTGCCTTCCAATTTGCTCATAATTTTCTCTGTAGTGTGCTGCAGTGCTTTCCATAGATCGTATACAATGACAGGGCCAGCGTTTGAAGTAAAGGCCATGAAATATGATTCTTTTTTTCACCCTATTTAAAGGAGGCAGTGTTATGATGCCTTTAACCTGCCATTGCTGTGGTGACATAAAGATATTACTGTATGGCTGTCATTAAAGGCAGGACTCCTACGTGCAATTAATCATCCTCCCCTAATTATCCTTTCATGCAATCTCTCTTTAATGTGAGAAGATGTATAACTTTAATGTGGTTATAATCTTGATATGTCTATCATTTAATTGCTGTATGCATTGAAATACTTTGTGAGTAAAGATTTTAAAACCTGCCAAGGTTATACAGTATTTTATGAGTTTAATTATTTTCGATTTTTCCTTTGCTAATGATGACATCACATAGGGCTACACTCTATTCACACAAGATTAATATAAAATTCCCTATTTGTCTTGGTTTGGTCGGTCAGTGTTGCTTAAACATGTGGTCTAGGCATTACTCTACTGCCACGATGACCTGTATACAGATGTCATGTGTTTCCTTTACAAAGGGCCCTTAAAACTATTTTCTTTTGATGAAAGTAAACACTTTTCCAGTGTCCAAAACTATATTCTTCTTTACCCTTTTCTGCATAAGGAGGTCGTGTCTCTGACCACCTGCTGTAGAGTTTGTAGAAATGACAACTGCAGTAGTAAGAGTTCTTGTGGCTTTTTTTTCTGTTCCAGATATACGAAAATGAAAACCGCGACCAACATTTATATTTTCAACTTGGCCTTGGCAGATGCTCTGGCTACAAGTACTCTGCCCTTCCAGAGCGTGAACTACCTGATGGGCACCTGGCCTTTCGGCGACGTGCTCTGTAAGGTTGTGATGTCCATTGACTATTACAACATGTTCACCAGCATCTTCACTCTCACCACCATGAGCGTCGACCGCTACATCGCCGTATGTCACCCCATCAAGGCCCTGGACTTCCGGACCCCAAGGAATGCCAAGATCATCAACGTCTGCAACTGGATTTTGTCTTCCGCCATCGCCCTGCCCGTGATGATAATGGCAACCACAACCATGGAATACAGTGGCAAGTATCTCGTTAGCTTCACAGCCTTCTCCCTTCCACGCCCTCATCTAACGTGCCTCTATGGATTGTCTTTCCCCAAAACGAGCAAATAACAGTCTTGATCCATCGGGCAAGTAATGCTCAGATCTGACCACAGGGTCGTGTCGTTGGTGTAGTGCAAGAAGTTCTGAAGTGATTGTAACATGACCAGTTAGTGAAAAAAGGAAAGAGAGGAAATGAACCTCAAGGGCTCATTAACCACACGCATTCTGCAGGCAAACAAGATCTAGATTATTTTCTGAGTGAGGGCCTTATTTAGATAGAGATCTGTATCAAAATAGACTTTCTACAGTGAGAATTTAGAAGCTGAGTTATTTATCTAGTTGAAGTCATTTCAATAGTTTTAATACAGTATGTATTTAATTTATAATTGCTTGATTTAATGAATCATTCACATTTTTTTCCTTCTTGCCATCTTTATTATTTGTATTGTGTTTATGATACCAGAAAAGGTGCATCCTCACAAGTGGTCAGTGGTGTTTCGGGATTATCGCTGAGCTTTTCTGATCACTGCTTTTAAATCTATTACTATGCATCCCTATGTATATTACATTACTACATTCTGTTCGTAAACCAGTACAATCACAAGCTCAAACCATTGGCATGAGGGAATGTCTTTGTTACCAGGCCAGGATGGAAAAACCCTGCAGCTGACAGACCTTTAAAAGGATCAAGATGCATGTTTGAAAAAAAGCCCACTTCAGCTTCATGTCCATAGATCAGAGAGAAGGAGCCCATATGAAGCAGCACTGCTTTTGGCAAGCTGACTCTCGTGACCTATCTTGAACCTTGTTGAACAGGCTTTTGTTTATTCAGTTCTTTGTTTTGTTAAGTTCGGTTTGTTAATTGGTTTGTGATTATGCTACTGTCTGATGCTGTATTACAGCTTCACCACACTTGGCAGAATATGGCCTGTCATTCAGACCTCTGAGCATGTCTGCAGAGGGTAAAGCTGAAAAGTGTGAGAATCCTTCATGCCAGCCAAGCACAGCAATAGGGACAACAGGATCTGGCTCAAACATCAAGGAAAATAACTTAAAGATGATTTTAAGCCTTTGATCATTTTAGGACTGCTTATATTGCACCGTGTGCAATAGCACACATTTGAATAGAACAACAAGGTACTTCCTCAGTACACAAAGCCAGGGCTTTTTGACTCATTCTGGAGTCATACTGGTAGCCAGCTTCTAGCACTCAAGTTTCCTGAACATGCAATTTTAAGTCTCATTCTTTAAAACGGTCACAAAAAAAAGTGAGATATTAGTATCCCTGTGAATTGCATTGCATTCAAAATAATCCTTTATTCATTATAATAATAATAATAATAATAATAATAATAATAATAATAGTAATAATAATAGTAATTGCTTACACTTATATAGCGCTTTTCTGGACACTCCACTCAAAGCACTTTACAGGTAATGGAGATCCCCTCCACCACCACCAATGTGCAGCCCCACCTGGGTGATGCGACGGCAGCCATAGTGCGCAAGAACGCTCACCACACACCAGCTATCAGTGGGGAGGAGAGCAGAGTAATGAAGTCAGTTCATAGATGGGGATTATTAGGAGGCCATGATTGGTAAGGGCCAATGGGAAATTTGGCCAGGACGCCGGGGTTACACCCCTACTCTTTTCGAGAAATGCCCTGAGATTTTTAATGACCACGGAGAGTCAGGACCTCAGTTTTACGTCTCATCCGAAGGACTGCGCCTGTTTACAGTATAGTGTCCCCCTCACTATACTGGGGCATTAGGACCCACATAGACCACAGGGTGAGCGCCCCCTGCTGGCCCCACTAACACCTCTTCCAGCAGCAACCTTAGTTTTTCCCAGGAGGTCTCCCATCCAGGTACTGACCAGGCTCACACCTGCTGAGCTTCAGTTGGCTGCCAGTTTTAAGTTGCAGGGTGATATTGTGCTTTTTTACTGCTCCTTTGTTTCTTTAAAACACATCTGATTTTAGCTCCAGGATTCACAGACTGCACTCTGAAATTCCCTCACCCCTCCTGGTACTGGGAGAACCTGCTGAAGATCTGTGTGTTTATCTTCGCCTTCATCATGCCGGTGCTCATCATCACGGTGTGCTACGGGCTGATGATCCTGAGGCTGAAGAGCGTCCGGATGCTGTCCGGCTCCAAAGAGAAGGACCGTAATCTCCGCCGGATCACCCGCATGGTCCTGGTGGTGGTGGCCGTGTTCATCGTCTGCTGGACGCCCATCCACATCTTCGTCATCATCAAGGCCTTGGTCACCGTTCCCAACTCCCTGCTGCAGTCCGTCACCTGGCACTTCTGCATCGCCCTCGGCTACACCAACAGCTGCCTCAACCCCGTCCTCTACGCCTTCCTGGACGAAAATTTCAAGCGATGCTTCCGAGAGTTCTGCATCCCAGCCGCCTCGGCTCTGGAGCTGCACCAGTCCAGCCACACCCGGCACGCCAACCGCGAGCACAACTCCAGCGGCCACACGGCAGAGCGCTCCAACCACCAGGTATGACTAGCCGTGGAGATGTCATCGCTGGACTATCGCTCGCAGCCCGCTGATGACATGAATTCGGAGATCACACAGGTTACCACAGGGCTTTAGCTAGTCCCAGCCTCGAGCGCACTGCCAGCTGTTGGAATGGCTGATGGCTGCAGCTCAGAGCCTCTCTTGATGCTTTCCCCCTGACTTACTGGGTGTCAAGGGTGTGGCCTTTGAATGTGCTTCATGCCAGCCCTGTGAGACTTTCAGCCAGGTCAGGCAGAGCTGTTTCACTGAACAGCGTGAACAGTCAAGCATTTCAAGGGAAAAACAAGCCAAACCACAGTTGCGTCAACCTGTCAAGCAGTTGTTTAACATACATTGGCTGTATGTACCCAGTCATACTCTTCTGGCGTGTGATAAACTGTGCCCTACCTTGTGGTCCCAGAACAGCAAAATGCTACAGCGTATTCAAGGACTGGGAATGTAAATGAATCTTTCTTCTTACTTCAGACTTTTTTCCAGAGCAGAACATTCTGGAATCCCTGAAAAGACCTTTAACAGAACCTTTAAGAATTGAACCAAAAAATGAATTTTAATGTAACTCCAAGCCAGCGTGTCTTTTGGGAAGGGCAGTGCAACTGTTCAGGGGATTGCATGTGCGCCAGTACATTCACTGAGAGTACCAGCTCTTAATTTATTGGTGACCAAACAGATCATCTCCTCTTGGGAAATGCAGAGATATGCTTTTATAAGCATTTATAAGCATTTTCAGTTGGATATTCTCTTAGTATCCAAGTGACAATTTTTTTATATTGTATTGTCAAACAACCTGGCAGTACATTTGACATTTAACTTTGATAAACAGGTAACTATGAGCTGTTGATTGAAGTTATCAGTTGAGGAGATTCAGAGGTCTTTGGAAATTTATACAGATGTTTTTCCACTTACAGACTGCTGTGTATAATTCCTTTCCACTGAGGGCACATTGCTTTGGTCATTCAGACCTTTCAGCTAAAGATTGTTATTGAAGCTTTACATGTTATTTATTGAACATCTAAGCTTACGATGCTCTTGTTTAGATATTTTGTACAGAAAGGGTGGATTTTTACTTTTTTCTTGCTCTTTCTCACAGTTTGACTTCTTTGCAGCTCCTGATCAGAATATTGTATTTTTGTATTTGAAAGATATTCTGTATTAGTATGTATAACCTGTCCTTTCTGGGCATCCATTAAAGTTACTGTGTATTGTGATTTTGTACAGTGGGCTCTGATAGAGGAAAGGCTTGGACACTGCCACTGGCCGATGATTGATTGATTGAAATTCTCAGATGTTATACCATTCCACTGGAAAGCTGTGCTAATGCAGAAACAATATACAACGGAATCATATTGTTGACGTTGCCTTCTATTTTAGTGCAAGTTTCTCAAACACTTACAGTATATCTCACTTCTTGTTTTTGTTCTACACAGCCTTTAAATTCCTGATTAATTATTCAACAAGTTGTACTACTTTGGCACTTCTTGGCCCTATTATCTGTGCTATCAGCATACCAGATCAGCACAGCAAGTAAAGAATTGCCCCACAGCTCAGTGCTTAGTACTATAAGATACAATAATGGGGCTCTAGAGTGCGGAAAAGAGGCCAAATGATGACTGACACCAGGCAAGATGTGTTTTAAATGATTAGTGACTTCAATTTGTATTTACAAGAAACAATTGCTCATAAACAGAACCCGTGTCTTCAGACTCTTTTTTTTATTCACATTTTTCCAATGAAATAACGAACAATGTTTTCTTACACTGCACAACATATTTGATTTCTGAAGGTCGCAACACATCCAACCCATTCTCAAAGTTCAGCACAACTCTTTCTCAAAAGCTTGGGTGTGAAGAACGAGGACTTTGTGTCGTGTGGAAGGGTTTGAATGGTTTTCTTTATGCTTCAGAGTTTGCCTTTCGTGTTTTATTTTTACCGGATTGAAGAAAACAAACAGCACACATTTTCTGCTCAATTCAGGGTTGTATAAGCGTGACTTCAGGTCCCTACAAACTACAGGCTATAAGGATAAAGGGTGATAAAGGTCTCCATATAAGAGAAAAATTACTATACTTCTCTTTACTTTTTGAAGAAAAGAGAAGGGTTTGATTTAAACCTCTGTATCGGATTTTGCAGACAGTAATTTACCTTGTCAGATCCTGTCCTCCATTTGTGAAATAGCCTGAAAGTGACTTATTCAGATGGGTGCCTTCAGTCTCCATTGTATCTATTGTAACTATTGTCGTGTGTAAACTGAGCACCATGAAACTGACTGTTCTTTGTATTTTATGTTGTAAATTAAAAGTATACAGTTGATGTGTGGCTAATTAAGCACTGGTGAATGTACATGTACAAAACTTCTTACATTCAAGTTATTATGTTTTATTTTCAGAATTCTGAAATTTGCATGACATTGTGTTTGACATTTACATTTCTGAAAAGTATATTTACGTCATTAAATGTCTTAATGGATCCCATATTTTTTATGTTTCAGGTTTTCTTGTGTCATATTTTAATTTTTTGTGAAATACAGAAATTACTATTAAAAACACTTGCAATATTTATTTCATAAACTGTAAACCAACTATGTCATTATTTCTGCTTTGACAAGGGGAACAGGGAACTACATAAATAATTCATACAGTGGAAGAGGGGCATTACCATAGTGTTTTCTACCTGAGTCTGCATGTTGGTGCAGCAGGGAGAGTTGTATTAAATGTAATAGTGGCATTTTTTATATTTGTAATAGTTGCAAGAATCTGTCCGGCTTTCAGCAGAATAATGGGAGTTTGACAGTTAAGTTGAAGTGAACATCATAAGAGAAAGGCTGAAAGGCTAGTGGGCTTTTTTTTGGTGTGATTACTGTGTTTCGGAAAAATGTCGAAGAAGAAAAGGGAAAGCCGACAAAAGTTACGGTCTCCTCAGTTTTTTACACTTGCTCCTGGGCTTTCCAAACGTCACTTGGAAAAAATCGAACCCGACAGTTTTGTGATGACAAATTTGTTTACGATGTCCCTGTTTATCTTAGATGCACCTTGACTGTGTTTGCCAAGGGCAAGTGGGAATGATTTCCAAATTTGGAAGTAAAGGTGTCTCAGGCAAAGTCATTCTTGAGGAAGACCTGTGATGGGATTATGTGTTTAATGCTTCACATCTGGACAGTGCTCTGCTGGACACGTCAACCAATGAGGGATCTGCAATATTTATTGTAATAATATTTATTATATATGGTGTTTAGAGCTGTATGATGTGACAAGAATGGGTTCTCCTGCTGATCCCAGATTGCAAGTCCAGCACTTAATGGCTGCATTTTGTCAGATAAACACTGGGTGTCAACTGGGTGCTGTTGCTGGCCAGGTCAAAATTCTGATTCAATCCAGACAATTCTTTTGTTTTTAGTTTTTTGGGGGGGCGGGGGGGAGTTGGGGTTAATAATTCTGCTTCACCATACGTTGTAAGAGGAATTTACATTTTGTTAAAATGTTGAAGTAATCATGCTGAGCCTTTTTTTTAAATGAGTGAATATTTCAATAAACAAACCTATGGAGTGTAATCGTTTTTATGGTTCTTTTAAAAAAAACATATTCTTTTTCATGTTCTATTTGACTGATATATCTTATCTATAAAGTGTCACTTTACTTCTTTCACCATGAAAAAAGACATTCATGAAGACCACAAACAGCTTCCATCCAAAGGATTATGAAAAAAAAAAGATTTTAGTTGGTGTTTAGTTTTGCGTAAATGCTGATATTAATCTGATATATCTCAGGGTTGTGATCACCATGATCGAAATTGGCCTTTTAGCTTGAGCTACTCCACAGCGCTGCTCCACAGAACCTTTTGGTACACATGTGCTCCAGAATACTTGTGAAGGTAACCCTCACTCCATTCAGTTTCTCAGCCATGGTGCAGATATGGTACTTGCTTGCAGCCCTTAGTTTGCAACCTCCACTTCTGCTCAGTCCTTGGTTCTTCAAATGATTTAGCCCTGACACAACAACTGCACCCCAACTAGCAGATACTTCCTGGACTGGTGATGATGTCATCAAAAGGAGACAGCTCTTGTTTATGAGCAGCTACAGTATATGCCCCTTCATCAAATACTCTTTATTATCGGAAATATAAGCACTTTGTATCTTCTTATCTAATAATGTTGTGAACAGCAGTGTAAATAACCTTTTCTGTTTTTTTCACAAAATATGATTGCGACAGTAGGCATGTAACAGACACCCTGGAGTGTGAAACATATTTATCTGGGCTCTGACAGGACCCATCTGAAGAATATTTTTCTCTCTGTGCTTCAGAAGGTTTTCTGTAAACCATTTTTCTGTAGACCATGCCACTTGTTGTGCAGCCTTGGGTCATTACCACAGTAGCCAACATGCATTTAATGAGTTAATTAGAATTAGTCTGGGTCTGTAAATAAGATGAAGCTCTAATGGAAAGGAGTGGACATACCGTATAGTTGATTTCACGCAAAATATCCTGCATTCAGCAGCTGCAAACTTGCTTGAATAAACAAAGTCCAGCATCAGACTGCCTGTAACTTTTATTCCCAATGGCACAGTGTCATTGTGAGCGTGCTCTGTTATATTGCACAGTGTCTCTGAGGTACTGATGTGTGAAGGGACTACAAGCAGGTCCTTGTGTCTGACTCAGTGGCCCGAAAGTTTTCTCATGCCGTCAGGCTGTGTTTCCTGTTAAAGAACAGCCAGCTCTTCACCCCCCAGTTTGTGTAAAACAGTGTTTTCACTGTACGAGAGCATCTTCTTTAGTATTCAAAAATCTGATTTAACCCTAATAGAGGGGTTCCGTACACAGAGCCCAGGACTTTACACATTCTGATTGGCTGAGAATTTGGCAAATTTAGCATGGTTCTCTTTGGAGGTAAATTTCTGATGGGACTGCATTTTCTACAGATCGATTCCTCCCTCTTTTCAGAAGGAGAGCTGTCTCCGAAGGTGAGGCACACATCGTGTGATGTTGTGTGCCTTCCTCTATTCTCTCAGTGATGCACCACAGCTCTCAGGTGGGTGTGCAGAATGGCTCTAATGCTTTTCAAGCAACAGCAGATATGCCGGATTCTCGCCAGCTACTGACCACACAACAGGAGATCATATCCTGCAGAGACGGATTCAAATTAAATTATATGGGAAATTAAATAATGACATATTAATCCTTTTATGTCAATTTTCAACATTTGTTATCCTCTGAATAGCACGTGCTATTTGGCATTTTAGCTTGAATGAAATCAAGTAAACAGCTGCTCTGCACAGAAAATAATCATGTCTGAAATGTCACAATACTGATATTAGAAGAGATGCACAAAAACAGTGAGTCGTGTAGGAAGTGCCAGTTTAATTATGTTTGTCTTTGATATTCCAGTATTGTGCATCAACCAACATTTTAACATTTTAAATTAATCTTACATGTTGTATTAATACTTCTCAGTGACCAAAAGATTGCTGTTTGAAAACTGCAACAATATGGCTGGAATGAAAGAATAAACAGTTTCTTTAGTAGAGGGTTACTTGTTTTTAGCGGGACAATTCGGTTACTTCTTTGTGCCCTATAAAGCTTTTTGATCGAAAAATTAAGAGAAACATTCCTAGTGGAGTCAATTCATAAATAACAGTTGCAGATCAGTTTCTATGGAGCAGGATTCTTAGAAACTGGAAATTAACTAGATTATACTGGGTTTATTGTGAAGGGATAATGTAACAATAGTTAAATGTAAATGTTAAAATATAAATAAGAAAACAAATTACTGCTGTGTGGTTGCCTTTTAGGTTATGCTGTTAAGTACAAAAAAGAAGTTAATGTGAGCAACGCACATCCTGTAGCTCGGTTAAAGCAAAATATAATCTAAGGAACGCAGGGTTTAGGAGTGGGCTATCATTGAAGTTGGCACCAGTCAGCTATCGAGATTCAGAGGCATCCTGGAGAAGATTCAGGTCTGCAGTTTAATTCACTTAGGGTTACTTAGCAACAGTGACATAAGTGACTGGAAGGGATGAAGCAGTTTCATTTTCTACCTTTTCCTACGAGAGCACAGAGCAGGTAAGACCTACCTAGAGAAAGCCTGGAATTGCATCTTTTTACTGGAAAATATGTTTTTGAGCTTCCACTCTGCCACAGGTGTGTTTATTCTGGACCACCTGATGAGGAGGGGCCGCCTACAGATGCATCAGGGTGATTGTTTAGTAATACCGTGATCATGTTGTACATGCTGGGGCAACTCTGTTGCACTCAACTAAGAGAACAAGACCTTATATGTCATTTTCATTCATTTTTTCCCCTTCATTTCCCAGAGCTGCAGGAGAGAGAGAGAAGCAGGGCCTGTTTTCTCATCTGCAGTCCTCAGACAGCGCAGGGTCTTCTGGTCTTCTGGTTTTCCTTCCCCCTGAGCGCTATGTTCTGCACTCAGCTCGCCCTTCCCTCAACAGTGTGACCCCTTTCCCAGACGGTGAAGCACTGGAACAGCGCTCTTCCTCTTCTGATCTTCTTTGCAGCTGCCTGTATCCCCAGCCTCCTGGCAGCAGGGGAACCTCGAATCAGGCTCAAGTTATTCTGAGTGCTTCAGCTGGGGCTGGGGGGGATGCAGTCAGGGGGGTCTTTCTCTAGTTCTGTCAGTGCGGACCTCTGCCAGCTCAGGCAGACAGTGGCACTATCTGTAACATCAAAGACTGCAGCTTAAACGGTGCCCAATGCCAGCTGAACAGCCCTCTGCATGATCACAGGATTCATGTCATTTCAGCACCTCTTTGGACTTTGAACTGTAGGGCGTGGGGATTTTAGTTTTCATTGATCTACAGCTTAGTTGCACAAAGCATCTGGTTAAGAAGCAGTTTAAACCAAGAAATTGTGAATGAGCCCATATAAAGGCAGGTTATATGGGTTATATATATATAACCCATATAACCTGCTGGATTGTTGCTGTCCAGGACCAGGGCTGGCCACCCAGACAGGAGTTCCTCTCCCCAAAGCAGGTGGCCACGTTTGATTGGCTATCCCAAGTCCTTTCTTCATGGCCCTGTGATGGACCAGGGGGAGAGTAGTGTTATTGACTTTCTGATAATGGGGAGATGGGTATGTGATGGAGCCTGTGCACTTTAACCAAGCACACACCTAACTGTTGTGAGTCTGAGCACATTATACATTAACAGTAGGAAGGCTGGTGAAGTCACTCTTCACCTGGGTCATATTTTCTTTTTCAGAGTTGCTTCTACAGTACCTTGCCTAGTGTCCCGACTCATTACAGCAAAAATCAATGTGGTAAATTTACAACTGGTGATCACCATACCACCGGCATTTATTGATATTAGAAAAAGTGTTAAATTATATCACGGCCTTTTTAATTTTCACTGGTAGCAACAGTTTAATCAGCAAGCTGATGAGGGAAAATCATGTTTGAATTGGAGACCCGTCAAATTCTTTTCAGTGTAACGGCTCTACAATTCTAAGAGAAGATCTAAAACTAGAAATGAGCACAATAAAAATTACACATATCCCTTATAAAGTGGGTTCACATCAAGGGAATGGGTACATTATACATTGGTGAACTGCTAACGGGTTATACAAATACTAAACAATGCCCTGAATTTTTCATTTTTCAGTGAACTAGCTATTTTTGCACATTATAGCTACAATGTGTACTTGTAACTTGCTCTTCGTTAATAAGCTAATTATATTTGCTCGGTCAATGCAGGATGTCTAATCTGTGTTTGGGAGCTTTGGGAAACGGCAGGAAAAGTTTCATGTTTATGCGCTCTGTGAAGCCACAGCACCACAGCTGTGCTGCTAATTGAGCCCATTTCCTTGTTCGGAGGTCTCTGCCTTTTACTTCTCGTTACTATAGCAATGACAGCAAAGCACTAGCCCCGCTCACTGGGAAATACTCCACAACTGGAACATCATTCACTCCAACAAGCCATGAAGGAGCTATTTAAGGAGCTGACAATCTCAGCTAGGTCTTTCTTGAAGAAAGACAGAGTATCAACCCCAACAACATGGCCGACTAACATGGTCCAGACTCTAGCATCCTTTTGTGTAAAAACCTACTTCCTTTTCTCAGCAGAATTGCCAGCAAATTAGATATTTACAAGAAAAATAGTTACATTTATGGGGTACATAAAATGAAACCTATTGTAAATTTATCAGCGAAAGATAAATCCTTTGACCTACTAAAATTCGTTTAATTACGTTCACTTAGGGAGTCTACCGTCGACCCAATGTCAGGGTTTCCGCTCAATCGAATTTTGCGAAGGCAAGAGGAGACTGTTTGTCCTTTCTCGCTTCCTGTAGAAAGCGATTTCAACGTGTGCGAGTGGAGCGGTAACTAATTCCGTAGGAAGAAAAGGCTATTCAGGTTGTTTATTTTAAAGTCATCAGTGGTAAGAATTTATTTTTAGAATTGTTATACATTAAATGTCTGTCAGTTATTTATGTGAAGGTAAAGGGAAGGTTTTGTTAAATGTGCGTTTGTTAACCGAGTGTGTTAAAGTAGTTTACGACGCCATTTTAAGTATTTTAGTTACTTTAGACATGAGTTTTCAGGTTATTTTAAACGAAAGAAAAATGTTATTTCATTTTTTATTGTACGACGTTCGTTGATCTTCAGGAATAGACTGGGATTAGTTTGAGGTGTGTTTTAACTAGTTTTGAAATAGTTACGTAAAAGCAATGGGATTGTTTTTGTAATTCTTTCTCGACGGTAAAACTAGTAGCCTTTCTTGTTAGCTCAAACCCTAAATTTACTTTGTATGGCACATTCTGAAAAATAACTAACATTGTACTCTTTGTATCACAAGTTTTGGTAATTGTTTCTAAGCCACTTAGACTGATTATATTGCATTTTATCTTACGAATTAATGGCGGAATGCTAAAAATATTTTATTGATTACTTGAAAACACTAGTCTCGTATCAATGACTTTAACTGTATATGTTTCAGTATGAAATAAATACCAATACTCCTACCACTATAATTGCTACTGTAGGCCTCCGTCTGCAATTCAGTTCTTAGACTTAGTCTGGTGATCGCATTCTTGTCTTCACAATTGAATATTTTAGTTGTTTTTAATAACTTTTGTTTCTCTTACATCTAACGTACCCGCCCACATTTAAGCCGCCGTGAGTATGCTTTGACAGGGTATATTTTTCCAATTATACATGCAAGTTCGACGGAATAATAATAATAATAATAATAATAATAAATAAATAATTGCTTACACTTATATAGCGCTTTTCTGGACACTCCACTCAAAGCGCTTTACAGGTAATGGGGACTCCCCTCCACCACCACCAATAAGACCTGGTTTGTTTCCTGATACCTATTCAAATGTCTCTTAATCACAAATCACGAACATTAGGAGCTCAAAACTCTTTTCTGGCACGTGTTCCTGAATGGCAGCCTCTATGAGACGCTTTAATGATAATTCAAAGTGAATGAAATTTCAGAGGCTCTTGTGATTTACCGTTCCTGTACTGTAGCAGCAGACTGAAGATGCAAAATCTCAGGCACCCACTAGGACATGAAGCACCAGATGCTAGAAGCCGTTTGGTTAAAAAGATTAAAACTAACTTTTGTTCTGTTTATACCCTCACCTGAAGTCATCTCGGTTCTTTAACTGATAGTTAAACGCAAGGGATAAGACATGATCAATCCGACTCGCGCTGATTAGCTGCTGTACCCGAGGGGTCTCCTGTTTTGATCGCTTTGCGCTCCTCTCGCAGTGGAAGATGACGGACCGCTACAACATCCACAGCCAGCTGGAGCACTTGCAGTCCAAGTACATCGGGACGGGCCACGCCGACACCACCAAGTGGGAGTGGCTGGTCAACCAGCACCGGGACTCCTACTGCTCCTACATGGGCCACTTCGACCTGCTCAACTACTTCTCCGTGGCCGAGAACGAGAGCAAGGCCCGGGTGCGCTTCAACCTCATGGAGAAGATGCTGCAGCCCTGCGGGCCGCCCGCCGACAAGCCAGACGACGCCTAGCCCGGGGGGCCAGCCCGGGGCCGTGCCTCTGTAGATCGTTTCTGGGCGCCTCCGGGACTGCGATGATGGAGGACGCAAGCGGCTGCGTGTGCGAAGGGAAGGGCGGGAGCAAGTCGGTTTGGTCTTGGCACAGTGCGGCGGTTTTATCTTCGGCAGCGTTCGGATAAGCCAGTGGCGGCGTCTGTTCATAATTTCAGTTGTGGTGTCTGGTGCTTTTATAGAAACAGTTCATTCTGGTGTTCCTCATTGTTGGGTGATATTTTACTGATTTTTTTTTTTACATTTTTTACAATAAATTAATGCTGACCGATTTGACTCTGCTGTTGCTTACATGCTTATAATGAGGGTTTTGTCCGTTTCGGGTGTATTTTGTTGTTGTTATACAGTGGTCTTCATCGGTTATCAGGGTGTTGGCCATAAAAGTCCAACAGTATTTGCAACCTGCTTAGAAGTTGGCTGTTTTTTTTAACGGTCTCCTTTAATTCGGAAGGGCTCTTCAGCTGAGCGGTCTATCCTAGTTGTAGCTCTGATCCTAAGAGGAGGTAGTTACCATTCAGAGATGCACAGGATTCAGAATTGAGTGATTACAGTAAAGAATCATCATTAATGTCTCCCTTTGTTTGTCTCTGCGCGGTGTTTCCAAACTTGATTGATTAGTACTGTAATCTTACAGCACTAATAGAAAGTTTGTATTACTGAAACTTTCAAAAGGGGGATATTACTTATAAAACTGAGCAGGAAAATATGTAGTATTTAGGAATCCTTCTGATGTTTATCTAAATCAAAGTTTTTACAGACATTGAACAGCTCATTTTCTTACTGAAGCTACATCATAGTTTATCCTATATAGTCAAACGTAGAGGGATTGGGCCACTGCAGGACAACACAAGTCTGACAAATTGGTGCCAAACCTGGTGATCCTGTTAATGAAGGGATGGAAACTTCAAAATGGGTAAGCTACTCCTGAAAAGTTTAAAGTTTCTCTCTTTCCTTTTTGATCTTTAAAAGTGAAGTACTGTAATGACCAATTACACTAACTCGAAGTTAAAACCAGCTGTGAAATCGGTAGTTGGCAGCTGTGAAGAACATGCACTTGTAACACAGCCATTTAACTTTTACTTGCAAGGGAAGACGTTGCAATTCCTATTACTACTAAAATAATGTTGGAAAGAATGCTGGTAAATATTCAGTTTTTGAAAACTTTGTTTAACACTCTCTGCAGGATATATTTCAGTGTGATTGACAAAAGCCAGACTGGTGCATTTGGCTTCTGCTTAGTTTCCAAGTTTTATTTTGGTGGTGACGTGCTGTTAAGCTGAAGCCGACGCGTGATTGTTGGACACGGGCCCTTGAAACAGCACTGACATTTAATGGCAGTCTGTTCCTGGGATTTGCCTTTTTTTCCAGATTTGCTTTTAGTCATGGGGAAAGTCTGATGATCATTAATGCAGTACTTGTCTTGTTATGGCATTTAAAAAGCAGATCTATTGTGAAATGCCTGTTGGAGTTTACAGAACTCTGTAGTGTGCTTCAAGGAGGACAGTAATTATCTTTTGATATGTCATGCATATGGTATTTATCAACCATTTGATAAAGGAAAGAGTAACTGAAATGGTTTCCCTTGGCAAGCACAAATACCATAGCAACAACAGGCGTTTTTTTACAGGCTTTGCATTTTTATTTGGAGAAAGAACTGTGGATTTTGTTAGTTTCCTTGGCAGCATGCTCACATGTTCTGTGTGAGAGAAATAGATTAGGGATGTCTTACGATTTAAATTCAATGGTGACAGATGTAAAGAATTTGTGTCACTGAAGGACTTATTTTATCATTTTGCTTCCTTTGGCTAACAGAAGGAACAGTTCTAAAATTTTCTTCTTGGAGAAAGGTTATTTGATCATAGTGTTTTTTTTTTTTTGAGTGGTCTGCATGTGTATACATGATACCAAGATAAAACTAAAAAAAGGTTTGAGAAGATTTCCACCGTGCCTTATCGAAGAAAATTACTTTTGCTCTAGTGCAGTAATCTGTATAAATATAATCTCTTTGAAAATGGTCTGTATAAATCTCTTATGTCCCCAGAATAGATTTATGTTATAAGCCCTGCATCAATACAAAGCATTTAAGCCAAAAATACATATTCAAAGTGTAACAAGCTTTTTAAGTATTGAAAACTAAAAAAACAGTAATTTAACAAATGAGATAATATAACATTGGCTGTTCTCTTCTGTTTCACCGATACCTTTATATTTCAATTAGACATCTAGCCTCGCACAACAATAATTGTTACTTCTGTTGTGCATGGAGTGTTTTCAAGTAAAAAATTCAATTAGTAAACCTTAAATATAACTATACAGCTATTATATTAATGGTTTGTCTTTACTCTTCCTGACTAGAAAGTAAGTACTTAAGAGCATAGTTCCTGTAACATTTTGAACTCAGCAGCAGCACTGAGGGTTTTTGAATTGCAAATTGATTTTTATAACTGTCATGACATTTGCTTGAAAGTGGATGTTAATGCAGTGTGCCCTGAAGCATGCAGGGCATGTTCCCCATCAAGCCAGGAGTCATTAGACGCCAGCACTGAATATGTGGCTCAGGTGAAGAGAGAAATGGCAGCAAGCTTAAGATGCTGATTTTATAGGCAGGGGAGGAGAAAAGAAAAAAGCAGAAGGCACTTCATTACACAAACGGTGGGATTCTGGCATAAGCTAACTAGCCGTGTTGTTAAAGCTGATAACCTGGTGTCCTCCAGGAAATAGATGAGATCTTTCTGTCAATTACAAACTAACCTGCAGGCTTAGTTCCACAGTGCTGGCAAAGCAAGATAGCACAGATTAAGGGAGCAGCATGTCACTACAGGGCTGCTATCACTCCCAGGAGATGCTGTTTTTCCAGAAAGCCCATAAAGAGGATATCCCTACCCCTGCAGCTGCAAGGAGAATCCTGGTCAGTCAGCAAGTGACATGACCCAGTCCTGAATTCTGTTTATGCTACTTATCAACTTTGTAAACCCAATCCTGTAACCCTATCTGTAGATGGTTCTGTACTTGAGCTGCAGTCTAAATTGAAAAACCTTGGGGTGATATTCGATTCTGGCTTAACATATGACCCACCTGTGCAGTATATTGTCAGAACATCTTTTTTCACCTCAGAAATATCGCTAGAATACGCCCTATGTTATCACTAACTGGTTGAAAAGCTAGTCAACACATTTGTGTTCTCCCAAATTGACTACTGTAATGCGCTACTTGCTGGGGTATCTAAATCTACATTGAACAAACTGCAGTACGTCCAAAATTCGGCATTCAGAATCCTGACCAGGTCTTGTGCAAGTGATCACATTACTCCTATACTGGAGTCCTTGCACTGGCTTCCTGTCAAATTCCATGTGGACTTTAAAATCTTCATGCTCACCTATAAGCCTCTGGCTTGACACCTCAGTACCTGTCTGAGCTATTATCCCCCTACTCCCCACCTCGCAACCTTCGCTCTTCTAATTCTGGTCTCCTAACTGTCCCCCATGCCTGTCTACATTGTATGGGTGACAGGGCCTTCTCCTGTTATGCCCCCAAGCTCGGGAGCTCTCTCCCCAAGGATATCTGAGAGTCACCCTCTCTAAACTCCTTCAAATCCAGACTCAAAACCTTTAGAAGAGCCTTTACTGAACCGGTTCTGTTCTTTACCCCTCTGCTTGTACTTTTCTTAGTACCACCATCCACAGTCTCCTCTGTGTATTGTAATTGTTTTATCTTGTGTATTCTTTTTTATTTATTGTTGCTGTCAAGTCTGTAAAGCACTTTGAGAAGCCACATTTAAAGGCGCTAGATAAAATAGTTGATTATTATTTCCAAAGCAAAATATTCAATTATAGATACTAGTATATACAAACTTGTACCTCCTGTACCGGACCAGATTTGCCCAAGTAGGGGCAATTCTGGCTTAATGAAGTTTTTATTAAATTATTTAAAGACTAATTTCTTCCCGTTAAAATCTTATTTCTAACAAATGAGCTGTCAGCAAAGCCAATTAAATAAAACAAAACAAAACCAAGCTTCCCTTGCTGAAAAGACAGATATACAGCAACGAGCCGTGACTGGCCGGATGATTGGTTTTCTGTCTTGCGGCTTCTCGGGGGGAATTGGATCTGTGAGCAGTAACAGCTTGTCGAGTTGCTGGAGATGAAGGTACTTGAACTGGAAAGCAGACCCACTGGCCTGTGGCGTGTGAGGAGCGAACTGCGCACACTGGCTGGCCAGCTCCTCTGAGCGCACACATGGCAAACACATGGTGGAGCAGTGGGAGCTCTGGGAACTCCACAGGCAAGGAGATTTCAAGGAGTGGGGAAGCAAGACAAGGGTGATCTCCTGACAGAGAGAACAGTGTAGATAGATAGATACTTTATTGATCCCGTGAGGGAAATTGCAGTGCAACAGCAGCTTAACACACACAACACAGCCACAGTGTAACGAATGATACAATAATAGTACAATACATACAATACAATACAAGAGTTACTCACAGTCCGGACACACAAGAGGAAACTAGAACAGAACAGTACACAGAAAATCGTATCACACGTATGAATATAAATATAGATGTAACCATAGATATAAATATAAATGTATTGCACAGGTCCCTGGCATATATTGCACAAAAGTGGTTGTAAACGGGAAAAAGAAAAAGAAAGAACAGATGTAGCAGTAGATGTGTATATGCGTTTAGTCCAGAAACAGGTCACTGTCGCTGTTGCCTCTGCCAAGACGCAAGGTGGATGCGTTGTACAGTCTTATGGCAGACGGCAAGAATGACCTCCTGTAGCGCTCCCTGTCGCACCGTGGATGGATCAGTCTATTGCTGAACGTGCTCTTCATTCCTGCAAGCCTGTCATAGTTTATGACTAGTTTATATTCATACGTGTGATACGATTTTCTGTGTACTGTTCTGTTTTAGTTTCCTCTTGTGTGTCCGGACTGTGAGTAACTCTTGTATTGTATGTATTGTACTATTAGTATATAATTCGTTACACTGTGGCTGTGTTGTGTGTGTTAAGCTGCTGTTGCACTGCAGCTGGCCGTGCTCACAGAGAGACTAGATCTTTCATTTAGCTGATTGTGCACATCCCAGATGGATAGCAACGAGAGCAAAGCGTGATTGATGCACTGAACATGAGAGGTTCGAAAATTGGTGCATGGGTGGACAATTTAATATTGTATTGAATCCGTGAAGCAATCTTAAATGCAAAGCATGGTGCAGATTCACAGGCTGAATGGGAAAGCAGTGCGATGGAGAATAGTGACATAACAGGCACCTTAGAAAAGGATAAGAATTTAAATTGTACTTTTGGAAGTCACGTGAGTAATGAAGTTATTGAAAGGTTAAAGTTTTTTCAGGATACAATTTTTTTATTTATTTCTAAGGTATAAACTTCTAATTCAAAGAAGGGATGGTGGCTAATTGCAATGCCCTAGTCATGAGTGGAACAGACCCTACAGCTGTTTCTTTAGGGCCACCATAGACTTCCTCCTGCTTGCCAACTGCGCTCTGCAATCATGCAGCTCCACAGAAGTCTTTCTCAAGGGGGGGGCGTGCTGATTTATGGGTAGACAATTACATATTGGATTTAACTTTTAAATTAGAGCTCATCTCATACATGCCTTGAGTCTTTGCATTCTGATGGGTTGTAAGCAAATGTAGCATAGTCAGTATAAAGAACGAATGAAAACCTGCTGGATTTTATTCCAGTTACACAATGGAACCTTTAATTGACTTAATAACAGGATTAATTTGAACGCTTTGACGGTTTTCAGCTCTTAAATGTGTTGGAGATTGCCTTTCGACTATAGCATTTTCTAAGTAACATAAAATTGCAAACGTCTGAATTGAAAATCAAGATGACTGCCTCTGCAGTCTTCCGAAACTGCGGCGCCTCAAATGGGCCATTGTGCCTTAGACAGACTTGTTTTTAAGCATTCCTTCTGCTTCTTTTCCTGTGGATTGAGGGATATGCATGTTTTGCACACTAAGTGCTGCATTTTCATCGTAATGGGGGAAAAAAATCAGTTTGTAATGTGCATGTTTGCCAAACCCCTGATATGGAATTAATGTTGAAAGTGCATCTCCTTGGTGAGCACTTGCGAACACACAGAGGCTCCAGATGGCCTCTTCATCAAGTGCTCCCAACCCGGGTCCTCAGGGCCTACAATCCAGAATGCTTTCTACATCACCAAAATTATCAGCAGCTTTTCACCTGACAGAAATATGAAATTGAGACAATTAAGCTTTAACTGAACCCATCTTTACAGCCTGTAGCTGTTAACCGTTTAAAGACCCAGATTCCAGACCTGGATACCTGTGGCTTAGTATTGTTGGATAAACCATTTTGCTTTATGTTTCAGCTAGTTACCCCTCCCATAGTTCAGTCTGTCTTGCTTTAAGTCAGGGTGACTACTGTGGCTGGAAGGTTGGCGGTTCGTATCCCGCGGCCGGCAGAGGAATCCTACTCCGTTGGGCCCCTGAGCAAGGCCCTTAACCCCAGCTGCTCCAGGGGTGCCATATAAATGGCTGACCCTGCGCTCTGACCCCAAGCTTCTCTCCGTCTGTGTGTCTCATGGAGAGCAAGCTGGGGTATGGGAAAAGACAAATTCCTAATGCAAGAGATTGTAAATGGCCAACAAAGGGGTCTTATCTCTCTTATTTTGTAGCATAGTAAATCCCAAATTCTCTATTTTCCCATGACCTCATGGGGGTAAAAGTCACATTTTACTCAAACCAGAATAGACCGTCAAAGTCAAATGAGTGCTGGGTTGTGCTTAGTTAGGGCAAGAGGTAACATTAGGTTAGGAAGGGATTATACCTGGTTCAATCATTGAGAGGTTCTAGAGATTAGGATCTAGAAGTTAAGGTTTTCATTAAAGGGCTGGGCATAAGAAGGTGTGATTAAGAATTACGGTTACCTTTCAGGTTTGGGTATATACAAACATATACACCTATGTATATGTACATGTTATAAACAAACCACATGCTTGCTGTACAACTGCTGTTCTATATACTCTTGAAAAAACACACTTGTACTCTGTAAACTGTGGCAATTAAAGCCAAAAACGGGAGCCACTTCTTTACCCAAAGAGTTGTGGCAGTATGGAACAAGCTACTTGGCCATGTTATTGAAGCGAATTTTCTTTTTTCCAGAAACAGCAGGATGAGATCTTGTCTTGAATTAACTCCTACTGAGGACTGATGGGCTTAGTTGCCTCCTCTTGTTTGTAACATTTATGTTCCTACACTTTAATATACTTGCTTACAATTTACAGAGGGAGTTAGAAACAGCAGCACAGTTTCACAATTCCTAAAACAAAGGAGCTTTAAATTAAAAAAAATAGTCCAGGCACCTCACTCTTTATTGAGTAACAGTTGTAGTCATGACGGGGATTTTGTGGCTGGTGTTAGTGACTCTAATCTTTAAGATGTGAAAGCACAGGTCAAGCTTACCGACATGAGCCAATGGCACAGTGGAGCAGCACAAGGCAGTGTTGTCAGTGAGTCACACATCACCTTGGTAACCAGGAAGGCTGAGCTCCTGGTGTCTGGTAATGCAGTATCCAGTGTTTTGTAGCTCTAACACAGCAGCAGTCATAGGATGGGTTAATGTGTGGAGAGGTCCGTCAATTTGACTGTTCAGTCAGGGGACCACACACTTGCTGGTTTTCATTCCACTCGAGCTAAATTACTGAACTGAACCCTTGATTGAACTAATAATTTGCTCAAATGAAATGATTGCAATTTTCTTTCCCTATTCGAAAGTTCAAGTTAGGAAATGCAATAGTATAACGGTAAGTTTCAAACCTGAAAAACCATCAAACAGTTCAGATTAATTCTGTTAAGTTGTAAGTAATTTTGTGATCAAGAGCTGTGCTGGAACAAAGAACTGGCAGGTGTATGATCCACCAGAAGCAGGAATGGGGAACCTGTTTAATCCACAGGGAACTGGACGAACTGGGCTGTACTACATGGCTTTTAAGAATTACACTGCCACTGCTAATACAGTACCACCCTATAGCATTTCACACCACAATTCATAAAGAATAATTCATAGAAAACTTGGCTCTAAATAACGGTTCTACACATTTGCAGACTGAATATTGATTTGACAAAGCAGAAGTAGGGTCTACAAGATTCAGGTACTGTTAAGTCTCCTTTTTCTGTTAACAATGATCAGGCTTTCCAAAAACCTGGCTCACTGAAGTCAATTCTAACTGTTTTAAAAACTCTTATAAAAAAAACTGTGAAACAGCTTTAGGGGGAGACAACTGGCATATCTGTTTTTACCGATTTCACACAAAGGCTAAAGAAACTAGTACTTGCAAAATACATCTGCAAATCTGTCCAAACAAGCTTGGACATCCACCTCAAGCAGACAGAATTCGGGACAGTCACTTGCTGATGAAAGTATGACAATTCTCAAAGGCTTGACAAAGCTTCCAAGCTGGCTTGTCCCCGATATTGACACATGAACATGGCTCAGAGAATATAACCAACTGCAGTGAGCCAAAGAAGAAAGGCAAATGTACAATATCGAGAACTTATTAAACATGAAGCCACTTCTGGGACGATCAAATGTTTTCACTGCAGAGAATGTGGACTATGTTCCCTGTGATCTTGCTTTGTCTGAACAAGCACTGCCAGTATTTCGAAATTAATTGATGAAGTGTAAAGATGCCCAATAAGTTAGGGACCTTTAATAAACACTTCATGTAATTTCTTTCTTATGATGCAGTGACTGAAATATAATATAGATTTATGATTAAAATGAATTGGTGTTTACCATATTTTCCAAGGGCTCTGGAAATGTTTATTCAGAATCGTATATATTATCTGACAGTTTTGCTCAGAAATACTGTATGTTGCACTTCTGTGAGTTGTGCACATTTAATAACCTTGAAGTCAAACAGTCAAGAACATCAATTTAAACCACGTAAAAAAAATCAGTAATTGAATGTTTTGCCCCAGAGACCTAATATAATACATTTTTCACAAACTGCAAATAAATAGAATGTTCCCAAAAGGGATGACTCAAACCTGAATAGAACAATAAATGTATTACTCTGGAAAAATAACTACATCCAAAGCTTTTTTGAATTTTGCTGACTCACTCAGATAATCTGCAGAGAAATAACTCAAGATATATATATATATTTGTAATCTTCTTAACAGGAGTTCCAGGAAGTTACCTTTTACAAATAGGCAATGTCTTCATACATGATCGAAGAGGTGGAAATGCTCAAATTTAAAGCTTCATCTGATCCGCAGAACTTTCAGCAAGAATCTGAAATTCTTAAATTCATCTTAAATTCACCTCAACCTCACTTCTCAACAGCTACAACCACTGAAAAATGCACCATTCTCTTGGTCTGTTCACTGAATCTATGTCTGCAAACCTTCAAAATGTGTTATTTCAGTCACTAAAGTCGTTAAATCAGTTAGTAACTGATCCAATGAGGACAGAAAGCCTGCCAAGTACGTGTGGCCCTGGAGAATTGAACGCTATTGACACAAAGCGCAGCTCCCTGAAGAAACTGGTATTTTCTTAATTAACAGCATAAAGAACCGGGAGCTGCTACTGCATACATGAAGTGTTTATCTGAAAAAAATACAGGCATTACAGCTGAGGTAAAGCTCTTTGGATACTCGCAGTCTGACCATTAAAATCACCGATGTCTAAACCGGTCTTGAGCACCGTCTGCTTCCCCCTGTGAAGTCTGACATGAGCTCCCTCAGTCCTGCTGCTCAAGAGAGTTTGAGGCCCTGCACGTTCGCTCTGAGATTCAACAGTTCTTTTTCCTGCCTGGCTTTTTCTTGTTTAAAAGCCATTTTGTTTGCTTTCTTCTCTGTCCTCCTTTCCTGTAAAGGAAAGAAAACAGAAGTATTAATTCTTGCAAGGGTATTTGGCAGCTACAAGATTAGGAGCACAAGGCAGAAATGTCACTATATTAACTTGTGTTTTACTCATGGAAATGTCTGCATTTTGCAGTAAAATGAAATCTGAGAAGTCCTCCGAACACACAGGAAAGTTTTTTTGTTACCTGTGCACTACACCAAAACCAGACAGGAAGTGCAGGTGATTAACTGTATGGACATTTAACATACCTTCATTCTAGCAAGACAGGCAGCAATACTTGTATATTTTAGGCCTGTCTTTAGTGAAACACACAAATGATGAAGCTCAGCCTCTTAAGACACGAAACACCCAACCATGCTCTGCATGCCTGAGCTAAGAAAGCTGGTGCTGCGACTCACTTTCCGTTCCTCCTTTATCGCCTGTTTCCTGGCCTTTCTCTCCTCCCTGGACTCTTCCCTGGGCCGCGGCTGCATGCCGACTCTGGGCAGGTCGCTGTCCGTGATCATCTGCATGCGCTCAGCCTGCTTAGCAGTGAGACCCCTTTGAGGAAGAACGTCCAGAGGCACGCCAGTCTTGCTGGACACCTTGATGGGCTTTGGCTGCAAGCAGAGATCATCTCACTTCAGTCAGTTTCACATCTAGAACAATGGCTTTGCATTGCGGGTCTTATATTAAACTAAACCAGTATTTCTGATAAGCATTAGGGTCAAACCAAGGCAAGACCAAGGTTTTTACAACTGCAGCTTCATTGCACTGACTTTGACCTGTATGGTGGTTTGCAGCACGTCTGTTTATCAGTATTTTGACCAACACTGAGTTGAAATGATAGAAAATGAAACGACCTATGAGACCTATTAAGCAACCAGCAACAGAAGTAAAAATAAATTGGTAATAGTTTCACCTTTGGTGGATCCTCTATGAGTTTTGGGTGGTTATACAAGTTAGAGTAGGTACCTGAAATAAAAAAAACAAGGTTAGCAATTTCAATTTTATAACTCAGTTAATCTGATTGCTGCCTTGAAGTACAGTGATGAGCCATAGAGTCCACTGTTAACACAGGAAAAATAAACTGCACATGCTTTTTTTTAACTGTATCCTGTAAGTAAAGCCCCAGGGTGGGCAATCAGTAACTCTCCAAACTGTGACTTTTCAGAGACAAATTCAGAGAACAATTCTGCTCATGACACGTACCTGCTCATGAGCTCATGACACTTACCTGAAGGGAACCCAGTGCCCTGGGCACACTTTCTGCCTGTTGTGTGAGATCCTCTATGCAATCAGAGCCAGAAATGCAGTGCCCTGGAAGCACTTTTAACAGGGCGATTTCAAAAAGCTGATTGCTCCAGGGAACAATCTGCCCCCCCATTTTCTGAAAGCAACTGTTTAAACATTTGAGGTCTGAATTTAGCAAGAGACAAGACAGAGCCGAGAGCAATTTCTGCCTTGCAACAGCGAGCTGTGAGCGGGTCAGTGGAGACACAATCAGCAACCTACTCAATATGGACTCGCAGTCCCACTTCTCCCTGGGCTCTTCCACCACCACAGTCTCCATCTCCTCCTGCTCCTCCTCGCTGTCCTCATTCATCACTGGCAGCTCCTTGGGACCCAGATCGTCCGGCTTCTGGCATCTGCATAGACAAAGATGCCACAGACTGCAAGAAAGCCCTGAGTTTTGAATGGAAACCAACTAAATTTAAGTTGTTTTCTCCACACCCCAGTGGACCACATTCCTTGAATAGAGGAAACCAGCCTCCCCACACTCCCCTCAGAACTGCAACTGTGTCAGAACAGAACAACAGGAACGGAGGAAAGGCAACTGCGTCTGAGGATCTGCACACTGCAAATGCCCTTTACCGGAACTAAAATGAGGAAAATATCCTCCAAAAACTTTTTTTTTAAAGCAGGATGAAAACCAGTCTTCAGAGGAGGACTGTGCCACTCACTCTTTCTCCTTCTGTCTGTAGTAGTCCTTAATCACTTCCTCCAGTCGCATGCTGCTGGGGTCTATAAACCCTTCCAGCTCTGCATTGTCCAGAGCCCCGATCTCATCGTCGTCGAACTGCTCATAAAACTGTGGGGAAACAGAAAAAAAAAACTTTATCCAATTACACAGAAAAGATATGCACCTTCACGATGACTGTTTTATAGCTCAGTCCTCTCTCTTTGAGCCAAAGAAAACAGCCGGAGAAAGCAATAAGGTGTGAGATAAATTCCTCTTTTATTGCTTTGTCTCTTTTCAGAAATAATTACCAGAGCAGCAGCTCGGCAGAGCACTGATAAGAGTAACTTTCACTCTCCTGCTCCTCTCACACAGTATTTGTGCAGAGCTAATTGAAATCTCGAGCTGAAAGCATTTGTAATATAAACAGAAACAAAATTCTATCTTTATTATCAAGCAGCTCACTCTCTGAACCAACAGGCTTTTGGCAATAGCAAATTAAAATTCAAAGATTCCACAAGAGATTTGGAGCAAATATACATTCAGTATCCTTTCAAAAACTAAGCTGCAAATTTTCAGTTAATTATAAAATGCTCCCATGATGTTTTGTATTACACACAAGAATATCTGTCCCAGTTGTACAAAACCCCCTCAGACCCATTCAATTTCTTTATACTGGTTATCTAATAATACTGTCATTTTTCACTATCCTGCAAAGTTTTAATTAGTAGTACTGATTTACACGAGAACCAAAATAAAATAATTACATGGGCAATCTAAACTAAGTATAGATTTCCTGCCAAACAGGAAATATCCACTGCAACAGATCTACATAATACTTGCAACAGTCTCCTTTACTTGAAGCACGTGTTTGTCTGGCTGTATAAGACAGGGGTGTCACACTCCCTTCTTGATGAGTCTGATGTCTCCTGGTATTTGTCCTACCTCAGCTCTGAGTTACATACTTGGTCTGATTATTTAATTTCCTGTATAAAGGTAATGCATCTGATGAGATGAATGTCTTCAGTAATCAACTGCAAAGAAGGCTGGATAGAGGCTGATCTGAGGCTGATCTGAGGCTGACTGATGTAAAGCAAATTAAAGGCTTCTACCAGCACCGCAGCCACCCCACGACTGGTGATCGTCTTTATAAACAGCAGCCGGCCTCACTTTTTCAAACCTGTCGTCCAGAAGCGTCAACTGCTCGTTCCTCCTCATGACGGATGACGTGATGGAGTACTCCGTGAAGCGACTCCTGGTCTCCTCTTTCATGAACAGGAACTCCTTCACACCCTCGGCTCTGCTCTCCAACGGCGGACATTCGTCATCTGAGAGGAGATCGTCCGAACTGTAGTCCTCCTCTTCACCGCTCTCACCCTCATCTGCGTCTTCCCAGTCGTCATCGTCGTCGCCAGAGCCACTGAGGGTACGAGTGAAGAAGCGTTCAAATGAGTGATGAGGGCAGACTCGCTGTTTTTATTTCTGTCAGTGGGTGAACAGCAGTAGTCTCAGTCAGACTCATCCTGACCAACCTTTTACAGGGGATTCTGACTATGAGGTGTTCAGTTGTCTATGGGATTATGGGAGGTTTGCATCACTGGCTCCTCTGCTGTCAGAACCTGAGGTTTCTCTCTTATCAAGTAGGATTACTACCGCAACAACACGTTATCAGCATGGTGAGACTAACCTCTCTCAAGAGGGCCTAATCCCTAGCATTACAATCTAATGTTTCCTGTTAGTGGGTGAACAATTAAATCAGATGAGAGTCACTTTCCCCATCTGAAAGTTTTTGACCGAGATTAATAGAAATACAAAACAGCCCAATTACAAAACAAACAGGATTTCATATTTAACTTTATCACACACACTCATATCAAATTCACCTCCTTTAAACCAATAAATTAAGTGAATTTTAATTGATAGAATTTACAACAAGGCCTCCTGAGTGTCTCAATTGATAAAGGCGCTCATCAGAGGGCTCTGCGATCATGGGTTCGAGCATGGGTCGCAGCAACTGTGTTTGGATGTCCTGTATCCCCCTGCAGTTCCGTCAGGCTTTCCATCCTGTAGCAGAGTTCCGAACGAAAGACGCAGCTTCTGTCTCAGTCTTGAAAAGCGTGACTTTTGAAAGACGGCAGCCTGCACAGGTCAGGACCCAATGTGGGACATCAGCTCCATTCCCATGGGGCACTGCATGGGGCTGAGGGGCGCAAAACCACCATCAACACCTAGAACCGCGCTGCTCCTGACAGGGACCCCATTACTGCCAGTCACTTGCTGGAAAAGGCTGGGATCCCTTAACTTATTCAGAACCAACAGAGAACCAGATAACAGAGAAGCATGGAAACTACTGATAAGTGCCTTCGAAACTGAGAACAGGAGGCAGTTTTTGAAAACAAACTTTTCAGCAGTGTTGAAACCAATGCCATGGCTTCTTCCAAGAAATGGCTGGATGAGATCGATCGTTGAGTCAAAAAGCTACTAGCAAAGGAAGGGCCCTTCTAGTGCTCTTACGTTCCTCCACGCTGACACGGGCAGACAGGGAAGATATACAGAGGAGGGTGGGATCAAGCTCCGCGGTTTGTAGGTCGACACAGAGAGCGATAAGCGAGCAACAGACATACCCCAAGTCGGCGTCCCCCCCAGGCTGGTTCGCCTTCAGGACAAAGTCGTCCTCCAGGATGTTATCCGGATCGTCAAAGTTGAAGTCCTCGTCAAGAGCCGCCACGATGTCAGGATCCATGTCCAGCCGAGGGCCTTGGAGACAGAAGCACAGGGTGAATGCCGTGCAGACGCCACTACGACACACTAGTCTGCACTGCACCAGGGGTGGAGGCGATGAAGTCTATACAGAAAGACATCTTCTAGAGAAGCCACTACAGCCCTCTACAGCTATACCGCAGGGAGCATTGAGTGGTATTGAGTGGATTTATCCGATTTATGATTGCTGTAATACCGATCTTCTAACTAGTTAATCTCCAGTTAATTTAGTTCCATCTGTAGCTGGATATTTAATGATTTCCAAAGGTTCCTACGTCAGAACTAAAAGTGCTCCCTTTTTTCCCAGCAAGCTAGTACTGGCTCCTGCCATACTCGATCCGTTTATGGATCATTTCCACGCCCCGTATCCTTCCTTCCGCCAGTGTCAGGTCACACCGTGAAAAACCAGCTCTAACTGCACTCCCATCGCTCACAGCTCCCTCGCCACAGCGCCGTACCTGTAACTGGTGCCGCTTTATTGAGCAGTCCCACCTCCTCCTCGAACTCCGAGGCAAACACAGAGGAAGGCAGGTTGATGGAAACGGCCTGCGAAAAGACACCCAGGAGTTTGAAGGTTATAAAAGGGAAGATTTCTCCTTTCAGGTGTGAAATACCTGTGCCATCCTTGAGCCCTGGCTGTAGCTACGGGTTCCTCATATACTCTTCTGAGACCAGGTGGCTCATTGTACTTTTGATTGATAGAAAAATTATATTATTGCAGGAAGCACTTTTGGACATTTACCTTGATAGTTTTTCTTACTAGAAAAACATATGACACCTAAAAAAATAAAAAGACTAAACGAATGCTTTCACTGCAGCATCAGCACTGATTAGATAGCTGGTCTGTAGCAGTGTGTTACAGGGCCTTACAGGGATGGTTTCGACCTCCTCTTGCACGGGGCCGCCTTCAGTGACGAGCAGCCGCCCGTCTGTGTGCGGTCTGCTGGAGGAGACCAGCTCTGTGGAGGCGGAGGGCTCTTTGAGGTGCTGCAGGTAGTCATAATCGTCATCAAAAAACACCCCATACTCCCTCTGCTCCTCCTTCCTCTTCTCTGCATCTGCCTGGAGAAAGAAGATCTTCTGTGAATCACCTCCTTTTACACACTGATCTCTCGAATACAAAAACACAGCATTAGCTAAAATGCAAGCAATAATTTGTTCAAAAACGAGAAAGTTGTGGCACAGTTGTCATTGTCATTTGCAGATCTTTTTGTTTGCTACAGTTTCTGTGCTACTAAAGTTTCAGTTAAATGCGAGAACACAGGGAGCTCAAAGCAGTGACTTGGTGAAGCCTGTTCTCCCTCTTTTAAGGACTGAAGTTGCGCAAAACTGGCTGTTGTTATTACACACAGTAGGGCTGAAGATATGTGAGACAGTCGAGCTGTCTTTACCTCTGGTAAAGTTTTGATAAGCGTTCTGTTAATGCATTTAGTACATTAAAAAAACATAACATCACTTTATTAGCCCCATACAATTTCTTGCATTAGGAATTTCTGCAATTTCCCTCACGGGATCAATAACGTATCTATCAATCAATCAATCAATAAATAATTTAGTACATTAACTTTTAACTCCTCCTTGGCAGTTCTTTTTGATGGCGTATAAATGAAATGGAACAAAGCAGGAAATGCAGAAGACAAGTGACAGGCTCACCTTGCAGGCAGGTAACAGCACATGTTGGGGTGCCTTCTCATCCGCGGCAAGGGGGTCACGCTGGCTCCTGTGCACCAGATGAAAGGTCACTGCTTTCTTCTTCTCAATGAAAGGCTTCTTCTTCTTGTGAGGCTTTCAAAATAAATACGTACGACGTCCCCAGTTTATTAAAACACATTAGAAATGGATTTCATACCTCACATAATGAAATTCAGAATTATTTGTTTTATTTTATTTGAATGTTTAACCCAAAGTGGAATGACTTGGGCAGCAAAGGTCATTAAACCCAGTTAAGATAAATTCACCACAACGAACACAACAAAAGCAGAGAAACTGAAAACAAATGTTAAAAGCGTAATTGGTAAAGATTCATACCATGCCTTTGCTGAAGTTCTGTAATTATTCCAGAGAGATGCAACTACGGTAGAAGTGGATGTATCTTCTGACTCGCAGGTAACTTAATCTGAAATGACAACAGACACCTTCCTAATTAATTTCGTTTACTCTAAAACGCGTATAAACCACGCTTGCACCCCAGCTTGGAACACGCTACCAGCGCCATTACGGAAAAGACCATCTCATTCGTGTAGCTGCGGTGTCCCCATAGGCGTTTTAAATGAGCCATTATGCCTTCATCTTAAATGTTGCCATAACAATAAAGCAAGACACTCAAATAGGACATTTTTTGTGGCGTCTCAAAATAAAATAATATAAATATTCGAAAAAGAATGTTTTCTTCACTTGGTACTTTCCATCAGACGAAAGTAATCGAAAATAGACCTTCGGATGAACACTTGCCAAGACATATTAATCAAATTCATGCAATCCAGTTGACGGGGTTTCGGTGAAATGTACAAAACAGGATTACACGTGACAAATGCAACAGATACCAACTATGCATACACTGAAAAAAAAAATAGGCTATAAGAGAGATTCGAGTTTTTTCAAAAGAAATATTAATTTCTTACAACTATATAGTGTTTAATCATTCTTTCCATAGTATCCCAGAGTGTTTTACGCAGGGGAGAGTCCCACTACAGAGCAAATAAATTCAATATATGAACTAGAATTTATCCAGGACACTGGGGTTGACAATCCTACTCCTGAAAATAGTGCTGTCGAAGGATCTGCTACTTACTGGCCCACTGAAACTTGTTTTCCTTTATAGCACAGAACTGTTCAAGTGTCGAGGGGAACAATAAGGGCTCATCCTGATATCTAGAGTAAATATCCATTAGGTTGCATCCTTCTCAGAATTATTTTTTTTTGGATACGCGATAGGGATATTTGTGAAATAAAAGATATAAAGCAGACTTTCGGGGAGGATTAACTTTTTTTCGTTAGCGCTAAACATTCAAAAAAGCTAAATAAGTATTCCAAGTGATAATACTGACCACAGTTTACGCACAGGGTACTGAAACAGGATTTTTTGCAATTTTCTGAATTTTCCTTCCTGAAACGACCTGTAGTGACGGTTTATACAGTTTATGTAAAATGAACAGAAAAGGCGATTTTATCAAATGATTTTGAGATAATAATAATAATAAAATAATAATAATAATAATAATAATAATAATAATAACGATGATGGTGATAATGAGACTGACTACACCTCCCATAGATGTCATCATAGTTCCTAAGAGTTATATAGAGCTTTTCTGGACACTCCACTCAAAGTGCTTTACAGGTAATGGGGATCCCCTCCACCACCACCAGTCTGCAGCCCCATCTGGATGATGTGACGGCAGCCACAGTGCACCAGTACACTCCGTACACACCAGCTCTCAGTGGGGAGGAGAGCAGAGTGATGAAGCCAGTTCAGAGATGGGGATTATTAGGAGGCCGTGATTGGTAAAGTCCAGGGGGAAATTTGGCCAGAACGCCGGGGTTACATCCCTACTCTATTCGAGAAACGCCCTTGGATATATAGTGTCCCTGTGACTATACTGGGGCATCAGACCCATACAGACCACAGGGTGAGCACCCCCAACTTGTCCCACTCACACCAATTTCAGCAGCAACCATAGTTTTTCCCAGGAGGTCTCCTATCCAGGTACTGACCAGGCTCACACCTGCTGAGCTTCAGTGGATATACATTGTGTGTTACAGCATGATATGGCTGCTGGCAAAAAATACATCACATCTGTTTTCTACTATATCATAATGCTATTTTCCAATGTTGGAGGCTAATCGTATTTCTCATAACATGACCGATATGCCTGGAATACTGGAATATGCATGACTTCGTCATTCCTGTGAAATGCCATTTAGTTGTAGACATTACTGATAACCTATAGCCTCTCGTCATACATGTACTACTGTTAATATCCTGTGCTCATTACCTTTCCTCACCTAACAATGCTTTGTGGCAGTTAGTGTATCACGATGTTGAAATAATGGAAGAGATATGTTGGTCTAAGAGCACAGTTATTTGGTTACCTGTTGAAGTGATCTGACAGTCAATGTCTGTTTATATCCATAGTTATGCCGGACATGGTAGAAACAGTTAGAGTGCCCTCTTCTGGCCTAAGATAAAGACCCATCTTCAAAAACTGAACAGTTAAATGTTTCCTACTAATGGAAAAACGTGTTTTGAAATGTAGAAACGTTAATATTCAATTCAATTTATTTTTCTATAGCGCCTTTCACAACAAGTTTGCCCCAAGGCGCTTTACAATGCAAGTGACCGTACGTGTAGTCAATACAGAACAGAAAAGACCAGAAGACAACGGAGGAGAGGAACCAAAAACTCAGGGGAACCAGTCAAGCTGGGAGTAGGATTCACTTGAACTCTGAGATCCTAAAACAGCTGGGCATTGCTTTTTAACCTCCTGTGTTTTGGATATACTTTATCTTAAGATCTGCAGCTTGAGCATAAAAAAAGTATTGAGAAAAGTGCTTATTAACCAACTCATTAGTTCAATGAAGCAAAGAGCTTGGTGGAAACTAGAACCATCAGGTGTGAGAGTTCCCAGAACAGGGTCCTAATAGAGGTCTAAAGTTGAGCATTTCTATACTGTATATCGTATGGTAGAGGTTAAAACCTCCTGTCTAAATTTCAGTTCAGGTTTCTTGAGACTCGCACCCTGTAGCTCCATTGGTTTAGTAATTCTCTGCCTTACCCCCATGCAATGAGCAGCTGGAGCAGCACCTAGGGGACACAGTGGGTGACAGCTCCTGGATGTACAGTACTGAGGGACCCTGTGGGAAGAGATGTGCCTGACCAGTGAACAATGCCAGTCACAGGGGAGCTCCAGGTGGCATGCTGGAGCACTGCGGCCTCACAGCGCCTGGGTCCTGAGATCATTTCTGGATCTCCGGATTCCATCCAGAGAACCTGTGCTACTTGGGCCCTGTGGTTCCAGGGATGAGTGCCTTCCTCATATTGTACCAATGGAAGTTAAATCAGTTGATTGTTAGGGATTACCGAGCTTCCAAGTGTGAAAGACCTGTTATTCGAACAGTACCGCAACCCTCTCGAACCAGTTGTCCACCCCTGTACTACAATACTGTATATAATCATAGGATGTCGTTTAACAAAGGACAACAATTTTCTACTACATTACTTAAATACCACCCTCTAAAGAAAATTAAACAAGCTTAAGGTAAGAAGCAATACCCACACACAGCTTTGACACACAAAAGTTACAGTAAAACCCTTTTATTGTACATTTGGTAGTTTCATACTACACTGTGCAGTGGACACAGTCCGTTGATGCTTCAGTAAAACATCCTACAACCACAGCTGTGCCTCAAATTCTACAAAAAAGGTTTACAATTGGCAACTCAAACACACTTTACAATACGTGGACAGCCCAGAGCGTGGAATGGCAGCAAAGTTTAACATACAAAGTGTCCTTAATGTTTTGCAGTGAATTTACACAAATCAATGTTAAGCGGCTTTTAACAAAGGGCATTCTGCACGAGATGAAGAAGTCATTCCAACACAATCCAGTTCCCTCTTCAACATCAGCTACATGCAAAATATTTAAGATGTGTAGTTCTGGAATGTGGGACACTTCATATTTTATGTCTGCATGATACTTTTGATGCCTCTTCACAACATGAAGTAAATAAAACAGAGCCCTCTGAAATCTCTTCACAGAAACTCCACATTCACACTTCAAGTGAATTGAGGCTGCCGACTGTTTGGAGAAAGGCTTTGAAACTATGTCACGTCCATCAAAGAACTCCTGTTTATCAGAGCTCAAGAGCTGCTCCACTGCAATGTAGCTGGCACAGAAATAAATACAGTGTTATATACAAAGTAATATATGCAATTGTGTTTTTAAATGTTTTCACTATATACTGTAACAATGTAGGTTTTAAAAAATACTCGATGATTTTTCACATAATATAATAATTGTTTACAAGTACACTCCCTTCGAAAGTAAATGAGAATTTAATGAAGTTTATATACATTCTGTACAGGACACATAGAATTTAAAAATAATTACGTTCATAAATTACATTTACAGTTTCTAAAATATCACCTAGGCCTCAGTTGATGTCATTAAAACTCCATCAGGGCAACATTAAAAAAAAATCAGAGCATTAAAAAAATAAACCTGACCGCCAAGGGTAACTGTCAAGGGGAAAAGGGGCAGGACTGGTGAAATATTTCCTCCTCCTCACATATGCAACTCCAATCATGACTCTTGCAGGGCTCACAGAAACAGTTTTGGCCTTTTCCATTTCCCGAAAACAGCCCAAGAACAATTCTGAGAGGCTTTATTTACGGTATCAAACAAGACGGGATATTGATCTGCTCCGTCCTTTCCGAAGGGAGATTCCAGAGCCCTATAATGGTGCTTTTAAGCCAGATACCATCTATTATTTACAATCCATCTTAATAAGTAGCCGGACCATTTCTGGAAACTCTAATTTTAGAAGAAAAGAGGGAGGATGGCAGGCTTGCACAGGAAAGAAAATCAATATGTTTTTACCTCCTCTGAGGTGTTGATATCTAGTGTTTTCGCTGCACACATACAGAAAGTTCTATGACGCCAGATACACAGGACTTACATTATTTCTGAGAAAGTGCATACTGTATCTACGGTTACTGAGATTAATTATGAATACTGGCAATGTTAAGAAGCACACCACATAAGAAAAAATAACCCTAGACCAAATCTTCCACCTCTCTGCTTGGTCTGACCCCTGTCTGGGCTCTTGATTTTTAACAGAAGATGAACTCTATGTCTCGCTTATGCATGTTGATTCCAAGACTATTTCAGCTAGCACAAAAGGCCCATAAATACAACTGAGATGACAATATTTTCAAAACACTGGATCCTTCCACAGTGCTGAGTTTTATCGTGGAACAAAAAAAGTTTGAGTGTGTGCAGGGAGAGAAGGATGAGGTCTGGGAGATGTGTTAAAAGCCCAGCTTTCTTCTCATTGTGTGCAAAGATCCTGAGAACTTCAAGGAAACTGGACTGTCTTTCACATTACATGGTGCACAGGAGAGCATGTAACAAAAACTGAACACAGGCATGTTATGTTCTAAGCAACTTGGTGCTGTGCCCAGCAATCTTTCTCCACAGCTGCACAGAAAATACCAGCCCTGGGCACAGGAGGCTGGATCTGTCCTGGGCACCATCTTCCCCGGTAGGCAAAGCCTGGCTCTAGGGCTCTTCGGCTCGGCACTGTGATGCATGACAGAGTCTTGAAGCACAGACTGCTTGTGTTCCGCCCCAGGCGGTCAGGGGCGATGATACCTGGAAAACAATATGATCACCACATTTCTGAGGACGTCATTTAATATGATCTGCAAGTCAGAAAAGACAAAAACATCCTACTGACATGAGCTCCCGGTTGCAATCTAATCTTCAATTAAACTATACTTTACCTGAGCTCAGAGATTATTTTATTGAACGTTTAACTGTACAGACATTCCAAATTGGCTCTGTACAGCCATAGGTCCATTTGAAATCTGAAACTTTTTAGGAGATTAAATCAATTTAAAATAAATTAATTGGGCGGACGATAAACTCAGCTAGGGGACAGGCTGCTGAAAGAACAGCAAGACGTCACTGGACCAGGAGTGGACAGCCCTGCTGCCCGGCTTGGAGGGCCAGTGCAAATCCCTACCTTGTGAACTGCCTGCTCTCTTCATGTACGGCCATCTCTTTGCTTTTAAACTCGTTGAGCTCTTTCCGAATGGCGGCCTGTGGAGACCAAAAACAAGAGCGCTAAGTGGGACACAAAGGAGTAACCACTCCTGCAGGCACTCCTCAGTATTTCCTTCACAACATCGTGGCACAAGGTCTGCAGAAAAAAAACCCTCTCTTCTCTCTTGGCAGCAGAGCTACACAACGTAACTGAAATTAAACTGGGGTTTTCACAAGGCTGTTCTGCTACATCAATCAGAGTTTCACTGCAACGGGGAACAGGACTTCTCGCTATACAGCTCCTGCAAAGCTTTCTTAGTTTGCTTGTCTAGGGGACGTAGTGAGGGGTTCTACACTCCCAGGTCCTCTGAGCCAGTGGCCCGAAGGTTTTACAGGTGCTTATCCAGGGCCAGAGTCTCGCAGGTTCTCTAAGTCTGGTCACAGGATGGGGGGGGTTCTTGTGTGTACTGGTGGCAGCAGGGAGCAGCGCTGAGGTGATGAAACAGCCCTTGTCGTCCCCGACATCACCACCCGTCCGTTTCTTCTTCGCTCCTGGTTTTTACAACGAACCTTTCCGAAGACCCTTTAAGGGCCATATTTGCATCCTCCCTCTTGTCTCGCCCCCACCGTAGTATTTTCTAAATTTGTCCCTCCCTCTGCTCGTGCTCGCCATTTTCCCCCACCGGCTAACTTTTTTCCCCAAGCTAGTGTAGCTCTGTGGCCTGTGACGTAGGTGAGCGCGGGACGGGCCTCCAGTTCTGAATTAAGCATCTACTCTCCCACTGACTTTAGATTTCATCTTGAGTTAAAATAAGAGTTTTGTGTATCTCTTTATTAAAATATTTAAACATGTATGTATTTATCTTTTTATATAAATAGCAGGAAGCAGGATTGGGGACTGGGGAGGGGAGGGACTGTCTGGGTACATCGTCAATAGCTGGAGACCCTAGAAAAGTGTTGGTTCACCTAATAAGTCAACAAGGACACTAAGACGAGAGAAGGAAAAGAAGCTAACAGACACTGGGGTCCTCCAGGACTGGAGCTGTGCACCACTGCACTGAGCTGCCACATGAATGGGCACTGTATATGCAAATGTTTGATACAAGTCAGTCACTCGGGACTCGGCCCTCTCCAGAATCTAGATGCCTGGTGCACCAAAGCGCCTGAGCCGCAGCCCAGCGGGGTCTCAGCTGTACCTTGTCCGCAGGCGTGAGTCTAGTCCAGGGCTTGTCTGCGCGGCGGTCGTAGTCCTTGGCGTCGGTGACTTCCACGTACTCGTTGAAGCGCAGGATCCGCCGCGCCACCAGCTCCGCCACTGTGGGCCTCACGCTGAGCTGGGGGAGCGAGCAGGGGTCAGGGGTCAGGGGTCAGGGGTTGAGCACAAACCCTTTCCAGAACCCGCCGGCTTTCAGTCCTGCTCGTCCCTGAAGTGAATCATCATTTCTGCTGCCAAGCTGGCACCTTTGCCAGCTTTGCCACAAAAGATGGAGATTTCGTGTAGCACAGCTAAAAGGCTACATCAAACATGTTTAACTACAGAAAAAAAGAGTTCGGGTGTATTCTATTAGCAGGTCAATTAAGGATTTAATTAAGCAGCTAGGCGCTCAGTTGGAACAAAAAAAAAAACCAAGCCTGGGCTGCCCAGGATCAGGTTTTGGAACCCCTACCTGATTTCACGGTTTAGCCATCGCGCAATCTACTTGAAATATTTCGCCACAGCTACAGCTATATCAAGACTGTTCAGCGTGCCATGTACAATAAATTCAGCTTTTTGGCCAGCTGTAATGTTAGACATGGTCACAACTGTTTATTTCAAGCGGTGGTTTCATACGTCCCACTTGATTCGCTTGTAGTTATAACCATGACTAGGTGGAGGCTACTAAATTTGTAGCTGTTAATGCAACAATGTCAATGGAAATTGGCAATAAAAATGAACAATACAAGAAAAAAATAATAATTAAGTTCCTAATTGACCCACTAGGTGGAGCTGTCGATCTGACGATGCAGAATTTAACAATTGCTTTATACAAAACTCATATGCACCAACGTCTGTGATGGTTATTAGGAATAAATTGTAGCTGCCAACATTTCCTATGATGAAACGTTTTTGGGACTGAACTCTATATTCATTATTTAGAACTGTACAAAGTAAAGTCTATAAGAAACTCAACTGTAATTGACATTTAAAAAAAATCAATAGGCAAATCACTAGAAACCAATGAAGTGTGGGATTGAGATAAAGATACCAGATAATCACCAAAAAAGGGAACACTAATGTGTTCACAGTGTCTACCCTATTCATGATGGAATAAAGAAAATTAGACATTAAAATTAAAACGGAATTAAAATGTTGTGGACAATTTTTCTGAGTAAAATCTTTAGGAATTTGTTCAGGAAAGAAATAGGTTTAAAAGACTAATTGATTTAAACCGTGTTGGTTAAGTTAAGTTGGAATACTAGAAGGAATTTAGGTTTTGAAAATGTTGCTTCACATTGACCGAAAATCATCCTGTAACTGTGAGGAAGTTCTAAAGAACAATTTGGGAACCTCAGTCTCTGAAGATAAAAAGTTTCCACATTAGTAGGTAAAATACATCCATATGGCCAGTCATTTACAGTACAACATGCTGCTGGCTGCTTCACAGTCAGTTTGGCAAACTGATACTGTAAAGCCTAATACCTTTCGCGAAAGTCTTCGTTTGATTTCCTGTTTGGCCTCATGTTCTTCCTCTTCATTTTTCTCTGCAATACAAACAGAGAAATTAAATCTTGAGAAAAAAACATACTAAAGAGCAGTAAATAGCCTTTCACACTCACTGTTGATGGGGAAAAAAAGGTACAGAAACCATCACTTACAATCCTCATCTTGAAATTAAATTGCTGAGGACAGTGTAGAAAAAAATACAAGCTTCCTTCTTTATCCAGATAAAAAAAACAGATTTTTTTCCATAAATGCAAAATCTCTACTCTGTGCATTAAGTAACGGAAAAAGTGCAAACAATTTTCCTGAGTGAAGAACAACTCCAGGAAAATCCCATACTTGGATCTGTCCATAAGAGGAGATCAAAACCCTGCTCAACCTCTGCACGCTGGTATTCGTCTTTCCTCCCCCAAGTTCAGTTCAAGTTCACGTTGATTTTTCATTCCAGGCATATACAAGTATACAGTGGTCCACAGTGCAAATACAGGTAGGACAGACAGGACACCGACATAGACATTGTAGACAGAATACACATAGTGCACAGTGCAAATAACTAAGGCTAATACATAATACAATATACACAACACACTGGGGGGATTTAAACCCTGTTTCTGGAATTGGACTGGGAAGGCCAGACCTCAGAAGTAATGAGAAATGAACAATTCCAGTCTTTTAATTTGCATATTACTGTTGCAAATATGTAGAAATACTGGCAGACGTAGGGGACATCAGCTCTTGGAGCTGCCCAGCTCTCGTCGGCAGCGGAGAGACCATGATCCTGAACAACACAGCTCCAACACAGCTCCTCAGATACACAGCTGTTGTAAATAATGCAACAGTGAAACCACTTTTCTGTCGCCACCATTATCATTATTAGTACAGGAACAAAGCGAAGAATGAATAATGTATCAAGACACCCAGGCTCCCACCCCACCCCCACCAACACCACCTTCAGACCTCCACATTAACGCGGGGAGGAGCTGGGCATGTGCTTGGTCCAGTAATGTTCTTGGTTTTCAGAATAGTCTCTTCTGAACAACTCGTACGCATGACAAACCTGAGAGCCAGGTGGATTTTCCTTCTTTCCTCTGGTGATGTAACTAACACGGGTGATCTGAGAAACTTTGCTCACTAGTGAATTACACTGCCTCCCCCCAGTGTTCCTAAAGCATTCGACTAAACTGGCTCATCGATGGACACCCGATGAGCTAACACAGCACCTGTCCTCCCAACAGAGTTCCCCTCCACTGAGAAGCAGACACCAATTTGCTCTTAGTCTCTTGATGCTTTTATGTTTGCAGTGGCAAACTTCAAACTAGTGTGGCAAAGAACAAAAAATCCTTGAACATTACCCATGTCTTAAAAAGCACTTTTTGTCGATTCAAACACTTTGTAACACCTGAGACTGTGAGGATTCTTCAGACACACTACATCACGCACGGAGCAGCTCTAAATTTTATTTTATTTGTGGATTTGTATATTTTTTTTTAAGAAAGTCAATTTCGTTACTGGCTAAAACTGTTAGAAAACAATATTAATCGCTAACGGAAGGGAGGGCTTTTAAAAGCAGCCCTCTGTAGAGGCCCTGGCATTCCAGTTAGAAACCGGACTCTCTGAGGTCATTTATTATAAAATGATTATTATTATAATTGCGAGTGGTCTTCGCAAGTACTGTGGGATTCTCTTCCCACAGACACTTGTTAACCACAGCACAGGCCTCAGCACTGAGGATGAAAAGAGTCCGATGCCTCAGCTGCGAACGTCGAAGAGCTCAACGCAGATGCATTCGACTGCTTAACAACATGACCCCCAGATCACAATATTTACCAAAGGAAGCAGAACTGAAAAGTAAGTGACGACGGAGATGGGAGCTGGGGTGCTCAGAAGGGAGGGAGGGCCAAAACAACCCAACCGTTCTGGAGCAGATCAGCTTGTCGGGGGGGTCTTGAACGAAACCCAGCCCCAGGTGTCGAGCATTTCAAGCGCCTTGACTTGTCCTGGGCACATCAGTATGGACAGGCATGAGAATTTGCTCTCGGCATACCGGTTTTTTTCAGCTGCATCAGCAGGATTCGTGCAAGGGAGGACGTGAAGGGGTCGGCCAGCCGCAGGAGAGGACGAGCAGCCCGCGGGCTCGACTTACGTTTCAAGATGTTGCGCTGCTCCAGCTCCTCCGTCGTCGGCCTCTGGCTCAGGCGCCTGATGGATACAAGAAGGTGGAGGCGGCTCAGCACCCTTCTGAAGGACGCAGGCTGCCATTTCTTTAGCTTGGCATTCTTGTCGGACAGAAACACATTTCTCTCGAGTTCAAAAGACGTTTCGGGTTGTCCCGAAAAAACAAACCAGGTTATATTAAGCCCTCAAAACAGCTTATTTTTGTGCGTGCAATTCACTTGCTTAAATAACACGCGATCCAGCGAAAGAAGTATCTTTGAAGCTCCAAATGAATACTAATCTTTAAATCAAAACTTTTCAGCCTATTAAGAACACAGTGAGGGGGCTGTTAAGACTAAAAGATTTGTGGGCAACAACTGTCACATGGTAAGAAATTTCTCAGAAGTCAAGACTCAATCACATGGCTCCTAGAGCTGCTAATGACCTTTAACTATAACACTGCAGACAGGAATCTGTTGCAGCATTCCGGCCCAGCAAAACCAAATTCTGTTCATGTTCCACGTACAGCAGGCAGGCTTTTAGCCAACATGAGCATGAAGCTGGGTGAACAGCAGACTACTGCACATACAGTATACAGAGTCACCAGCATGCTACGCAGGTGCAGCATGGTTCTGCTGGTATTAGACAGGTGATCACCTTAAAAAACACCTACAATGCCTGCAGGACAGCAGCTCAATCAAATGTCAAGAAAACGAATTCTCCTGATAACAGAACAAGTTAAGGTTTAATCCATGCTGAAAAGAAAAGAAAGAAGGGTTCGTCTGTGGCGCCGTCTTCGGGTGTCATGATAACGGTATCTCCTGGTGTAAATCTATTCCAGTTGTCTCAGCAGTCTGGATGTTGGGAATTTAGGGAGAAAAGTTCTACGATGCTTGCTGATATGGCTGAACCTTTGATGTTACCCAGACCAGTAACTATTCTAGACTCTGTCAGATGAAGAAAAAAAAATGAACAATATATATGCCTGCCAAACTGGAAAACTTAAAACGTATATTGAAATTCATCTGAGCGATAAAGCTGTGTGGACTGCTTAATGCCAGGAATTCTCTTCCAGAAATGTGGATTTCAAATGTGTGCGTTGCATGGAACAACACTTTTTTCTTTACTAAATTCCTGATATCCCGAAACTGAGTGGTACAAATTTTCTACCGGGGAAGTATAAACACTGTTTTTATCTCTCCTTTGAATCTTTTTTTCAGGTGGTATTGTCACTTGCTGACTACTCTTCTTCTCAGATAATTGTCTTAATGGAGAAAAAGACCATAAACATTTGAAATATTCACATTCCCTTATTAGTGCCTCCAGTTTACCAGACGTATCGGGTTCTGTACCTCAGTTGTTTCACGATGAAGAACCCAGACTGCCCAGCTCCTACCGGAGGCCCGTTCCTGTCACCCATCAGCAGCCTGACTGCACACTGCTGCAGCAGAGCCCTCACTGTCATCGCCTTCCCTCGCTACAGCGGTGCCCCACCCTAACCACTTCCTCTCCCCTTTCAGAGCTCACCGAAAAGACTGGCAGCTTAAGCTTGCTCACTCCTTTAGTTTCTTCAGTTTTCTTATGGCGGTTAAATGTTATTTTTTTTCCGGAAACCTATGAGTGCCACAGGAGGAAAAAAAAAGGAATTGCGCTTAAACAAGACGGCACTGTTGTTTTTTTTTTGTGGCGCTAATAGGGTTCCTCAGATTTTGGGATCTTACATGGCAGCGCCGAAGACTCTCCTTCTCAGCTTTGTCTGGCTGGGCACCTCATTATCTGTAAGAGGGCGATTTTGCCGAGAGTGATTCTGTAGTTGGTCCACTGTGCATGAAGCTATGCTGTCCTTCAGTGAACACAGCAGGCTGTTAAACCCGCAGAAATTCCCCTCCCACCCAACCACTCCCACCCCCTGGATGTGCCAGCTGACGCACTCTGCCATGTCAGCTCTTTACCTGACTAGCTTCGTGCCAATCTGCTGTCTCAGCTCCTGCCTTTCCTCTTCCGACGTTCGGGGTAAAATGTTCTTCTCCTCCAGCTCCCTTTTGCTCGGCCGGTTGCCCAGTTTGATGGCAAGAGTGTCCCTCCTGCGAATCTTGCTAGCAAGGGAACCTGCAAAAACAAGAGTCCCATTACGTTTTGCTCCAGCTTGCAGCAGTTCTAAAAACAAAGTGCTCAACCGAGAACCTGAAGGAGCAAAACACGGGAATGCTTTGAGGGATTAGATGTCAAAGAGAGGATATACATTACAAGCAAGACATTTCATGCTCCTGGCACACTAAAACAATGGTGATCATCCATCCGCTTCGCAAAGCCAACAAATGAAGCACCTTATGTGAACGTAAAAAGATAATTTATTCTGGAACAATTTTCCAACCTAAAATGAATGGCACGCAACTACTCTCAACACCTGCGGTTTTACACTAAGCATTCCTTGCTGCAGGCAACAGAATCATAAACTTTATTAATCACAGATTAACAGAGACGCACTGTGCTGTAACAAGATGAATGCGTGGAACAGAATATTCATGCCCGCTGGACTAGGAAGCCCAATCCTTTCATCTGGCAAATGCTTTCATCATTTTTGGATCCTTTTACAAATCTCAATGTGATCAGGAGCACTGCCTGGAATACGGTCTACATCTCACAAAGGCTTACTGTAAACAGCAACTCAGTGGAAAGTTTAAATATTGATGCTTACATGTCACCTTACATGTGCTGTACAAAACCTGCTGAGCGTTTTGCAAAACATCACGTTCTAGGTAGCAAGAATGAAGCACAGAGACCGTGCGTGACTGGGATTCCTTGCACTGGCCCTATACAGAGACATCCGCAGAACACCTCACAGAAGAAGTGACACTGAGTGTTTGACCTCTCTCAAGATTAACTAGATTCTAGTCCCTGAGCCATACAAACTATTTAAAGTCTTGTAATAATGAAAGCTGGAGATCTCTTTGCAAAAGGGGCTCCTGATTTACAGCAGGAACACCAGGGCGGACACTTACTTCGGAAAAAAACTAGCTACACTTTGGCAGTTCAGGCACATCTAGCAGAATCCCAGGGAAAATTCTTCATTCCCAGTCAATCTCCATACTGTATATCATTGCCCTCATCCTTGTTTTCACTTTGATAACATAAGTGGGATTGCTGGGAAACTGGCAATGTTCTGATTGGATGGCATGTTTTTTCATTTCATTATTAACCACAATGACTTTGTTTGGCTGATGTTTTTAGCCACAACAACACTAAAACTGCTAGGTAATTCACCGGAGCAGTCAGAGCTAGGCTGGGAGTCGAATCTTCAACCTTCCAGGTACGAGTCCAGAACCCTGACCACTGTCCAAATACAGTCCCACAGACTGCAATACCTGCCCCATGTCTGAGACGCAACACAAGCCGCGTTTTATCAGCTTCCTTAAAACACCTACAGACACGCGAGAGCACATGCATACAGAGAAGCAGAATCCCTACTTGACGTGTACTCGTCCTCCTCATCTTCCTCCTCCTCTTCATCCCTGTACAGAATGGGTCCGTCCGAGTCGGAATCACTGGCGTGATTCTCTTTGTCGTCGGGGATGACAGTCACCTCCGGTGAGTCCGGAATCCCTACCCGGACCCGGTCTTCCCCATTTTCGCTGCCCGCTCCACCTGCCTCACTGAGGAATGAGAGCAGAGCAACAAAGGTCACACTTCTGCCTGTCTGGAAACAACCTCAGGTACTAATCAGAGCCCAGAGGAAAACTTTTCCCCCAACTAAGGTACAGCTTAAATGTGTTTACCACCTTTGGGCTCATGTACCACTTAACGGAAAAGCAGAGATACTTCTAATAAATTGATATGTAACCCATAGAGCACATTCGTAACTCCAGGTAAAAGCTTAACAAGATGGAAACTAAAGAATACAAACATTTAGGGGACAAGTGAACAATCAAACGACATTAAAATTCATTCAGAAATGACTTCTTTCACATCTCTGATGAAAGCAAAGGCAACAGCTGAGGTAAAGAATGTGACTCATTCAGGAAAAAGGAAGGTTTTTTCCTTTCACTTCACACACTGGCGGAAGGAAACCGTGTGCGACTTAAGGTGCAGGTGTAATCTGAATTACGCAAAAGTGACCCTTTGGTTGCTGCCAGAGAAGATAACCAGATTAGAACACAAAGCATCAGTTTCTAAGGCTCTGGGGTGCATTTCGGTAATGCAGCTGGGGCAGTTTTAGAGCACTGGCAGAGTGATCTCTCGTCCAGCACCGAATTCTGGAAACGATCAAACTACTGCATCCCGAGTCTTTTATCTGTCCTGCACAAGGGAAGATGGATGTCGGTCCCTCAAGGCCCGCGGAGAGAGACCGCGAGGGCAGCAGGGCGAGGCGAGGACGTTCTCACCGGGGGACGCTCGGTGATGGGGGATCCCCTCCGGCCGGACGGCTGCCACACTCTTCGGGATCCCCGCGGGGTTCGGGCGCGGCCTGCGAGGGAGGGCTCGCCTCGGCGGCCGGCGGCCCAGGGGGCTGCTCCCCGCTCTGCCCGGGGGTCTCCTCCGCCGAAGAGGCCTCCTGTCCTGCCCGGGACGCGGCCGGATCCCGGGCGGACGCCTCCTCCGAGCTCCGCGCGGCCTCCGCGGCCGCCGGATCCTGCCCGGCTGCCAGGGGAGGGCTGCCCGGAGTCGGGGCGCCCGTCCTGGGGGGGCTGTCCGTCGGGGCACCGGCGGAGTCGGCCCTCCTCTCCGGCTTCTTCTCCGGCCTGGGTGTTCCCGAGCCCCCCGTTTTAGCCCTGGCCCCCTCCCTGGGGCTCCGGGACTGAGCCGTGGAGGAGGAGGATGATGAAGATGGGGAGGCTGCCTTGGCGGCGGCAGCAGCAGACTTTTTGGGGTGGGAGGATTTGGCTGGGGACGGAAAGAAAACAAAAGAATCACAGATCGATTCTCTTTGTCCGTGATCACAACCCCGAGATTGTAAGAAGAAACAACAGGAAGGCTCTTTATTGCACGTGAAGGTTTTTTCCATAACCCTGCCGCTGCTGCTGAAGCAATGAATCTCTGGGGAGCAGGCATGTGAGAGCAGAGCCCTTGTTTTTCTCTAGGTTTGGCAGCATTTGCTCTCAGCAACGGGACTGAGTTGCACCATTTGTCTTGAAGTAGGGCAGCCAAGAAACAAAAAAGTGTCACAAAAAATGTTTTTGCAAAACTCGGCTCCTTCCCTGAAACCTGCTCAGTGCTGCTATCTCACCCTGCCACGTGCCTGCCAGCCACTGCCACTCAGCCTGGGCTCAGAGAGGGCAGCAAGCTCTCACTCCTGCTCCTCTGACGTACTCCTGCGCTCCTTTTATTTAACTGTTCATCCGACTGTTTTCTTTGATATTCTCAGTTGTACTTCCCTATGTAAGAAATGGCATGATGAGAACCAATCTCCCCGCAAAGCTACATGATTTGCAACACTTTTCGTATGGTTTCAGAGGTTTGAAAGCAACTCTTCATTTCCATTTTCCAAGAAAGACGCATAAGATGAGATATTTTCTCTGCTTTCTCAAATGTCACTTCTCCTGCTGCAGAGGGACTTACCTCACACTTTCACACACCCGCTGTTACACGTGATCTAGTGGATCCGAGAGCTGCCGTGACAGTGGAAGGGATGCGAGTGTGTTTTTGTGATGTGTAACACACATCACTGCGTCCCAGCCACTGAAGTGCGATACATAAGTGTCCCCATTTACCCAAAAGACAACTGATAACGTTGCATGTACAGGACTATCGCAAAAGACCAGGTTCTTTATGAAAAAGAAGTGGATTTAAATCAAGACATGCAATCAAACAACAGGAACACAAAACTAAACAGGAATGATAAGAAATGAAATGAAGCAATAGAAACCACAGATAGTTTGTTAACACATCTGTCTTGCATATCAAATGCAAGCCTGTTAATTTCAAAATGCAGTTTACCCTGTAAGGCTAATTACAGTGGGTACAAACCACAAAAACAACCCTCCTACGTGTAGTGCTCTGATAATGGAAACTAAGCTTAGTTAATCGCTGGCTTCTGGCCATGGAAAAGAGGGTTTTCATGCACCGGCAACAGACAAACCGAACACCCGTGCAAAAAGAAGTTCCTGGCCAGTGGCCACTGATCCTAGGAGACTACACATAAGGACCCACCCAGGACTGCACTGATATCTGCCATGAGCTGTGCCTCTTTATAGTTGTTTAAATAAAATCACTACACCCTAGAAGTATAAACACACTTCCTCACTGTCTGGGTGCACAGGCAGCAGAGCAGCGCCTCAGTGAATCCCAGTGAAATCCCAGTGCACTCTGGGCTCTGGCCCTTGCCCCCCAGTCCTTCGCCTGCCCAGGTAACAGGTGTTGCCAGGCGACATGAGGGCGGGGCTTCACGGCGTGCAGCCAATAGGCTCAGGCTAGTGCAGGAAGGGCATGCAGGTCTCACATGCGTACTCACCGTTGGCACGGTTACCGTTTCGCGGGCTCTGTTTGGAAGATGGGGCGAGAGGCTGCTTATTTGAGCCTTTGGGCAACTTTTTCGCGCCTGCCCCCTCTTTCCTGGCTCCACCCGCCACGGCCCCGCCATGGGCTTTGGGAGGCAGCTGAGACTTTTTAGCAGGCGTGTCCTGGGTTCGGGGCGGGTTCGTCTTTGGAACTGGCCTGTTGTCAGTCCTCTCTACAGGGACAAAGGGCGTATAGAGACCCCCATGTATTAGAAACAACAAGCCGGAAGAGCTAAAGCACACACACAGAGGAGGTGGGTGGAGAAAGAGTCACGTGTGGAGTTATGACCTCTTTAAAAAAGAGGTCGCCAACCCTGTTCCTGGAGGCCTGGAACAATCTACTGTGTATATATAATCCATTAAACAGGTGGTGGGCTTATTTAAGAAAATTAGAGATCATTTGGAAAAAGAATCCGAATATCCTGCAGCCCTTAAGGGGCTGTGTTCCCTTCATTGAAACATTACTTGATGAATTCAGCCAGGACCCTAACAGGGGTTGAAGAAGTTCAAGTAGGGAGCTTCGTCAGGATGCGCAGGCTGCAAAGAAACAGGTAAAAGTTTATTCCATGCTGGAAAGAGAAGAGACGACATTTTGGCAGTCAAGCCTTGAAGATAGCTCCACAGCCGAAACGCCACATTTCTTTTCTTTTTAGCACGGAATGAAACCTGTTCCTTTACTTACAGTATACAAGTGCTCCTAATCTTTACATAACGGGTGATTAAGGGTGATCCAAAAGAATAACTGCATTGAAGTTCTCCAGGACAAGGGTAGGAGCCCGCCGATATGAAGCTAAGGACCAAATGCTAACAGACGCCGTTTTTCAGATCAGAAACCCAGGACTGACCATTTAGAGCGCTTGTCTTCGGTCAGCCTGAGCCGCTCCCCGTCTACGCTGCGGTTCGAAAGTACCCCTCGTGCATTTTTGGGCCAACTAGCAGCGACACCATTTCTCAGATTTCGATACTGCCTTGAACTTCCAGCAACCCGGTCCCCACACACACACCACCCCCTTCCTCTCAGAAATTAAAAACTGCAAGATCCCCTCCCTCTGCCCCCTTAAAATGAGAAATCTTCCCTTCCATTTTTCCCTGGAAAGCGAAAAAAACTGCAATGATCTTCCAGGAACGTGACAGTGAAGTATGTGACAATCGAAACTGTATTCTCAGTGGAAAGCGGAAAATAAAAAGAAAAACCCCATCACTCACTTGCTTTCTTTCAAGAAACAGGCTAGATGTTCCAAATGCCCTCCTCTCGTTTGCAACTTTCTGGTATTGCATGCATTGCACAGAAAAGGATAATTCTGGAAAGCTTTGCACCCAGTTACGGCCCGTCCTGATTTGTACCGGGCTGAATTTCTAAAACTTCAAACGCATCTAATGAAATCAAAAGACCTGTATAGCAGATGATTTCCGGTGGCTTGGATATGAATCCAATCACAGGCCCCATTGAAAAGGCCGACTTTGACACAATGACTCACAGAGGATTAGGGTTCCCTTACTGCTAGGTCTTTCAAAATGACCTCCAAGAGAGTGCATTTCACTTCTGCAGGAGTCGACTGGAGCGGAGGCCTGCCAAGAAAAGTCTCTGGGCTCCATCAAGAAGCACAACAAAGCATAATCTGCTTAATCAGTGTGAAGGGGCAGACACAGCACTGCCCACAGGAGTCCAGATTGAAAGGGTTGCAAAGATCTCCCCCACAGAGCAGGCTGGACTCAAGTGGGAATTTGTTTTACTTTCAAAGATCAAGGCAGGATTTCTGTGAAATGACAGGCATAGATTACAACGTGTGAACATAACCTACACCGCTAAAAATGAATTTTCCTGAAAAGAACCAGATAACAGGAAAAAAATAAAGCAAAAAAAAAATCTGCTCGATTACGCCATCTTTTTGCTACGAGTTTTTACATTCTTCTGCCTGTCAGATACACCCTTCCCACTGCCTCGCTTCTGATGGATAAGAGATGCCGTTTTTACTGCATTAACCTGAATGAGGGATGGCTAGGAATTACCGTGCTTAAAGGGGAACTGCAGTCCCAATTTTTCAGACTGGTTATTAAATCTCAGGAACAAAATAAATTCATTGAAGTTTAAGAAAAAAAAATACAAATTCCGAATCAAGCACAAAATTGTGAACTTTGTGAACTTTGTGAAAGTACTCTAAGTCGCCATGTTGCAAACTCCCATTCGAGTTCCACGAACTGTGACGTGAAGCGGCCCTTCCTGCTCACTAGTCACTATAATGACTAGTGTGATGTGATGTACAAGTGAAAAAGTACAGGTCTGCAGCAGACATTTCACCTCAGAAATGTTCCAACATGATCTGCAGGCAGAGTTTACAAGTAGAATTTGTCAGCAAAACCATCTTGGAATCGAAAACAATATTTCTAGTGAATTAAAAGAGATATATTCACAAGCTTGCTTGTTTACAATGCAATAAGGCCACATCACCTGTAGTTTTCTTGCCTCATTCTGAATCGCAGAACATGGGGCCGTACACACCTGGAGATTTTCTCTCTTCGTTGTTGTGAATTGGAGGTTTTACAAGGTACTGTGTAGCTTTGACTTTTATTTCAGTTTTGAAATACACTGATCAGTGCTGATTCTATCTAACCCCCGAAATCTGAAACTAACGTCGCAGTTCCCCGGCTCATGGTTCCGTGAGAGCGCTGTGCTGCAGGCTTCAGATGGGACACAAAACCCAGAGGTCAACCATCACAGACACCACTCACACTCAC